CCTCTCACCCCCCACCTCTCACTCCCCCTCCTCTCACTCCCCTCCCCAGGCTGGCACTTCAGGCTCAGGCTCTCCTATGCCTCCCTGAGATGCCTGCACCTGGAGCGTAAACTGCATCTTATTTAGGGGGCTCAAGGGAAAGGCACTTCTGAGGGCACCTTACCAGGCCCTGCTGCCCTCACCAGGATGACTTCTACCTCTTCTGAGATGAGGGGAGCCCCCCCACCCCGTGCTGTTTCAGAGAGTGGTGGTCGGGGCCTGGGGGAGGAGCCGTGGGTCATCCTTGCTGCCCCACTGCACCACCTTCGGTCTCCACCACCGTCGGACTGTTCCCAGGGGACAGGAAACACTACAGTTTAGGAAAAGCCTGAAATTTGATGTTAACTGTTCCTTTTGATTCTGCCTCTTTTCCTATAGGATGGTGGGAGTGATGGTGGTTTTAGATTTCTTAAAGAAAAAAATGCTCTTCCCACCCTGAGAATGTGTTCCTCCCACCCAGGAGTCTATGTGTCCCATAGACTCATTCTATGAGACTTACAGGCAAATTAGAACTGCACAGGTATTCCGTCTTTATACATGTTTGGGGGGGGGAAAGGTATCAATGGAATAAAAAAATAGAGATTCCTATAGAAATTGCAGCTTTTCTGTGGTACATATACACAATGGAGTATTACTCAGCTATTTAAAAGAATGCATTTGAATCAGTTCTAATGAGGTGGCTGAAACTGGAGCCTGTTATACAGAGTGAAGTAAGTCAGAAAGAAAAACACCAATACAGTATACTAATGCATATATATGGAATTTAGAAAGATGGTAACGATGACCCTATATGCAAGACAGCAAAAGAGACACAGATGTAAGGGACAGACTTCCTGGACTCTGTGAGAGAAGGCAACGGTGGGATGATTTGAGAGAATAGCATTGAAACATGTATATTATCATATGTGAAATAGATCGCCAGTCCAGGTTCAATGCATGAGACAGGGCGCTCAGGGTCGGTGCACTGGGACGGCCCTGAGGGATGGGATGGGGAGGGGCGTGGGAGGGGGGTTCAGGATGGGGAACACATGTACCCCCATGGCTGATTCATGTCGATGTATGGGCAAAAACCACTGCAATATTGTAAAGTAATTAGCCTCCAATTAAAAGAAATAATTTTTTAAAAAAAAGAAATTGCAGCTTTGCAAGAGGACATGTGAGAAATACTGATTTATATTATATGCATTCAATAAAATATATGAACTTATTCCATTGACAACTGTTCAGTAGTTTTGTTGCAAACAAAGGCATTTGCTCTAATATTTGCAGATGGTGTTGCTGGAAGGCCCTCAGAGAATTCAGGCTTTCTTGGGTGGCTTCTTGTTTCTGGCCCCACAGGCACATCTATCAGCAGGCCAGGCATTGGAACGTTGTAATGACATGTGTGTGTGTGTTGGGTGTGTGCTTCAGCATTAAGTATTAACATTTTTGTTCTGTTTCATTTTGGGGGGAAGACTTTGAGACCGTGAGATGCCGAGTGTGGGGTGTTTTCGTTGCTGAAACCCGCAGTCTGCTGGCAGAGAGGAGCGGCTGTCCTCAGCTTGTGCAGCTGAGTGGTACCTTCATGATTCTGAACACGCTTTTCCTTACTCAGCATCGCATTCACTTCCCATGGCCCAGCTGGTCAGCCCGTGCGGCCGGGGCTCACCAGGCACGCACAGCCTGGGCTTGGGGCCACGCTGGGCCCCCGTGCCCCTGGGCATGGTCACATCTTCACAGCCACATGTTTTGCATCCAGCTCCTTCCTGTTTCTGATGATGAGCTGGAAGGGTACTGAAACTACAGCTTTGTCTTTTCCCTGAGATGGGCCCCCCTTAGGAGTTCCTGCAGGGGTCTGGCTGTGAGTGAAGCCCCGGGGAAATGCGTGCAGCTGCTTCTCTTGAACCAGGGGCTCATCACAGAGCTCTCCCTTCCCTGGATGATGGCAGGGGTGGTGGGGGGAGCAAAGCCAGAGAGCAGCCACTCAGTGTGGTGAGAAAGGGGCTCCTCCTGGGCCCTGCCCCTTGCCTGAAGGTGGCCAGCCTGTCCAGGAGCTTCTGGGAGCCTCAGCCTCCTTGCCTGAGAGTTGGGGTGAATGCACGTGTGTCCTCAGGGCCTGCTGTGGGTGAGATGCAGCCCCAGAGGGTGCTGCGTGGAGCGGTGAGGCCGGCCAGCCTGCCTTCCCCGTCACCATATCATGTTGTCGGGGGAAGGGGGCCCTCAGAGCTGCCTGAAGACAGAGGCCCCAGGCCGTGGAGGCCTTGACTGAGCACAGTCAGAGCCCCGGCCAGACCCAGCCGCCGGTCTGCTCTGCAAAGCTGGTCCTCACAGCCCCCTGTGGCTTTGGAGGAGGCCCATCTCAGGGCCTTTAGACATGCATCCCTCAGAGCCTCAGTTTGCTGCTCTGTACAATGGACACAAGGACAGCTGTCAGCCTCAAGCCCTTGTCTGGGATCCCACTCATTAGGGGTAAAGTGGATGGTAATGGTCACCCCCAGAGGGGGGTCTGCTGCCTGGGGACTCCGCTTCTGGATTGCTGGCCTGTGTTCTGTTCAGCTGAGGCCGGCTGCTCCCGGGACCACGTCTGCTGTTAGTCCCATCCTACGCCCTGGGAAGGTGAGCCTCAGGATCTGTCACCTTTGGTGACACCCGGGACATGGGGGGGACGGAGGGACCAGGTTTGGGTCATGTGATCGTTCGGGTATTCTTGTGATATGGTTTCCAGCTCACGGTCGGGAGCCTTGGCCCGCGTGCGGCCAGCAGTGAGGACCGGAGCTGTTGCCATGTGAAAAACAGTTATTTTCCCAAGCAGTGAGCAATCCTCATGATGTCACAGGCCCGCCAGAGGACCCAAATCGAATCTGTTCCACTGCTGAGTGGCCTCTGTACACTCTCTGGAGGTGATGACACGGCCCAGCCCCAGGGCGGGAGCGTGCAGAGGGCTGGGGCCTCCAGGTGGGGCTCCCTGCGTGCTTCTGGGGGGATCACAGCTCCACAAGAGCCCCCACAGAGGGGAGGAGAGCTCAGCAAAGTGTCGCACAGGCCAAGGACCCCCCGCCACGGGGCTCTGGGGGCCCCGCGTGCCCCTCCCCGGCAGCAGCATCCTGTGGGTGCAGAAAGGGGGGCAGTGTCTGCGGGCAAGGTAATGGGTCCCAGGGCCGAGGCGCTGGAGTGGCCGCGGGCAGGGGCCAGGCAGCATCCGGGGGTGGTCCCCCGGCCCTGCGCCTTGAGGCCTGGCAGAAATCCAAGCCTCATTCCTGGGCCCTCAGGTCATGGCCTTGGCTCTGGCTTCCCAGTGGCCTGATGCAGCCAAGCTGTTGCCACTCGCGTCTCTTCCTGCAGAGGAAGGACCTCTGACGATGAAGTCATGGGAAGCCCAGCTCCCTCTGCCCCCAGAACTGCGGGAGCCTCAGCAGCCTGTGGAGTGGCCTCTGGGTTGGGGGGAGGGGGCAGGCAGGCAGGCAGGCCGCCTTTGCCGTCTGTCCGACATCACCCCACCCTCAAATCACGTGGTTGCCCCCACTGTGCAGATGTGGAAACTGAGGCTAAGCCTTGGGTTGGCCCGAGGTCATGGAGCCCCCAGGTGCCCTCTCCCTCCCCAGCTCCCTTCCTGGGCTCTGCCTCTGCTCTGCTTGGCCCTGGAGGCAGAGGGGTGGCAACAGCCCCCCAACCGTTGGTGGTCCCGGGAGCCCCCGGAGACCGCGCTGAGTCACCTCAGCCTGCCCCCACCTCAGAAGCAGCCCCCTGTCAAGTTCTCCCATCACTCAACTTGAGGGGCCAGATCCAGGCGCCCTGAATAGAGACAGCTCGGGCCCCCCAAAGTGGAGGGCGGGAGGAGCAGAAATCAGGCCTTCCCCTAGGACATTTTCAACAATGCGTGTTTGATCAGAAAAAAAAAGTCCAGTGTGACATGCTGTCTTTGAAATAGCACCTTCGATCAGCGTCTAAAAAATATTCCAGGTGATTTTCTTACAGAAAGCGGCGAGGATCCCAGAGACCTCCACCCTCGGTTTCACCCACCCCGTCCACCATCTGACTGACCAGGCGTCCTGAGGGCTGTGGTTCATGTTCCTTTGGGAGCAGACCCTCAGCACGCCCCACTCTGTCTGGGTCCTGGGACCCACTCAGGTCTCTCAGAAGAGATGGGCAGGAAGAGTCAGTCTGGGAGCAAAGTGGCCCTGGGTCTATGGGGGCCAGAGGGACCCAGGATCCGATCCTCAGAACGAGCAATGTCAGGGGGCCCTGCGGTCCCCGAGGGATTCTCGGAGGAGCCCACAGGCTGGCCCCCGAGAGGAAAGCCAGGTCCAGAGGGTGACGGGAGCTGTTTGAGAGCTCGCTCAGTGGGTCGGCGCCAGGGATGGAGCCAGGCTGGGCGCCCCCACGCAGCCTGTGTCGAGGCGGGAGGGCCTGGTGAGGGGCCTCTTTCGTCCCCGTGGCCACAGACGCGGTGCCTCGTTCAGGACAGGAGAGGAGGGGCAGGGGCCTTCTGCCCCCAGCCCGCCCCCCACCCCAGGCAAGCGGAAAGACTCTTTATCCCAGCCCCTCCCCCTCCCCTCTTCTTTGTTTCTGTGGGTGCTGCCCTTCAGAGGGGTGACCCAGAAGGAGCTGGACCTCCCATTTCCCCAGAAGCAGCCTTTGGAAACCTGTGCCAGGGTAAGCCTGGGGGCCGGGAGACCCCTCCCAAGCCAGCCCCGTGTGCCTGATGGCAGAGGGTGGGCGGCCGACTGGGCCGCACAGCTGTGAGGTAGAAGCAGGCCCACCATGGCAGGCGCTGACCCAGCCTTGGGGTGCTTCACTCGGTACCACCCGCCCTCTGCGGCCCTGGCTTCCCGGGCCCCCGCGGTCACCCTCATCTGTGTGGCTCCCTCTGACCACCACCCGTGGGACACACAGCCCAGAGCGGCTGGTCCTCAGACAGATCACGAGTTCTCACGCTGCTCCCCAGGGCCCGGCTCCCTGCTCTGAGGTCTCAGACGCCCCACGGCAGGTGCGCAGCTTCTCCCATCCTTCCAGGCATCCAGAGGCCCAGCCCTTGCCGCTGGTCAGCTCTGAGTTTGGAGTGGTCTTGCCGCAGAGACGAAGACTCTGTCCCCTGTTGTCCCCGGTGGCCAGAGCCCAGCCTGGACCCAGAGGGGCCGGTGATGCTGAGCCGTCAGACAAACCAGAGTGAAAGGGGGCCCGTCCCCCGGGGTGGGGGCTCCGCCGGCCTGCTCCAGGGGCGCTGCAGGGCGGCTCAGGGCTCTGGGGCGGGCCCGAAGGGCTGGGTCCACTTGGAGACGTCCAGGAAGACGGCGGACGCCCCGTGGTAGAGCCAGAGGCGGGGCATGGCGCCAAGGCGGACCCAGGCGTCCCGGCCGCGGTCGTAGGCTTCCATCTCCACGCGGTAGTCCCCAGCCATGCCCTGCCAGCGGCCGCCCGTGGCATAGAGTGCGTCCCCCAGCGGCACCAGCGCCCCGTTCTCGTGCAGACTGTGCAGGGGCTGCACCTGCGGACGGTCTGCCCTCAGCGCCCCGCGGCCTCAGGGTGAGGGGCACCCCGCCCCACCCCCCATCCAGGGTGCCCCCCACCTGCCTCCTGGGACCTCAGCCCCGCCCCCAGCTGCCCCCGGGGGACCCCTGAGACTTTCCCTTGCGGGGGAGACCCCGCTGCTCCAGGGATAATGTTCCCAGCCGTCCTGTGCTCTCCGAGTTTGCCCATATCTGAGCCTGGGGGGTCAAGGGGGACCCGGGCCTCGCTCCCAGGGTTCAGGCTGGGCCTCTGACTCTCTATCTCTCTCTCAAGGACATGGTGTGGCTTCCACCCTGACAGATGCCCTGGGGGACTCATCTCTCTGCCCTCGCCTCGGCCTGGGGCCTCGGGGTTAGCCTGGCCAGGGGCTGTGGGCTGAGAGCTCATGGCTTTCCCCAGGCCAGGGAGAGAGGTGTGTGCCCTTCCCGAAGAGCCGGGGAGGGCAAGATGGGGGAGGCCACCCAGGTGGAGCAGGGAACGGGCGGCAGACCTCCAGGCCTGTGGAGGACAGACCCCGGTCCAGAGCCGGGTGGCAGGCCGGGCCAGCCCCGGGTGACGGGCCCCAGGGACAGAGCCTGGCAGGGCCGGCCTGCACCTGTCGTGCTGCTGACATGGGGGCCTCCGGTCAGCTGAGCGCTGACGCCAGGGGACAGCTGTGGTCAGCGGATCACAGAGGCCCCGCTGTTGCGTGGCTGGCCTGGCTAGCAGAGGCCACCGCGGGCTCTGGGCACTGTCCCCCCTCCTTCTCGGGAAGAAATGCGGAGGAAGGCCAGGGCTCTGGTGCCTTCACGAGCCCCCGCCCCCTTCCCTGGGGTGATGGAGGAGGGGGAAGTAGCAGAAATGGGGGTGGGGTGGGGGGCCAAGGGCTGGCTCCTTGCCCCTGAAACAGCTCAAGAAGCCCCCTCCGTGGCTTGATCACCCCCAGGGGTGGGGGAGTCTCTCCCTCGCGGGCCTGGCCGGCACCAGCAAGGAGGAGCTCTCTCTGAGTCCACCAGCCCCTGAGCGCCCCTGGCCGAGCATGGTTTTGCCCCCTGAGGAGGAGGACAGGTTTCTCCATGTGCTGGGGACAGAGCATCCGCAGTGACCAGCGGCCCCAGGTCTTCGGGAGGGGGCCCCTCTGGGTCCTTGCGTCCCCAGGCCTCATTCCCTGCCCCCTGCCCCAGCGGGGACCACAGCCCAGGCCTGCTCTCTCCAGGGGTGGGAGGGGCTCACCTTCTGCCACAGGTTGGCCCCGGGGTCGTACACGTAAACTTTCTTGGTGTTGTCCCCCACCAGGTAGAGCGCCCCATGCAGCGCGGCGCAGCGTGGAGAGGACAGGTACTTGGGGAGAAAGGGCGAGGCGATCACGCTCCAGGCATCTGCGGACACACGCCCGCCCGCGTCACCGGGGAGGCCCTCCCTGAGCCTCCCGGCCGTGCGGCTGGGGGGCAGGGTCCCCGGGAGCCTCATCCTCGGGTCCTCAGGAGGCGCTGCGAGGTGTCCAGAGGCCGTGGCCTGAGTGGGCGCCCCAGGCCTCTGCCTCCATCCTGCTGGCCCCTTGGTCCTGTACCCGGGGCCCCCACCTGACCCTGGGCCTGGTCCACCTCCTGTGGGATCCTCAGCCCCACCATCCAGAGGATGGACCAGAGGGGCTACCCTGAGGGAGAGAGAGAGAGCTGGCTCCTTCCCCCTGAAACAGCTCAAGAATGCCCCCTCCCTGGCTTGATCACCCCCAGAGGCGGGGGACTCACTCCCTCTTGGACCTGGCCCATGCCAGGAAGGAGGTGCCTTGTGCAAGCCCTGTATCCTTAGGCTGGGGCCCAAACCCCGACCCAGCCCTAGAGCCCAAGCTGGTGCCCGCTGGGCTTCAGGGGTTCAGGCCTGCTGCCCCTCCCCACGAGGCTGGTTCCAGGCAGATCCAGCAGCCAGACAGGTTTAGGACCCNGGGTTGTAGCACTGCAGAGCCAGGGCGTTGTACTTGCAGGCGCTGGAGCCCACCAGGTAGAGTCGGCCCCCGCAGCCGGCCGCCGAGAAGTTGCTGACGTACTTGAGGGCCGGGCGGATGGGCGTCCAGGTGTCCGTGAAGGGGTCATAGCTCTCCACCTCTACCACGTCCAGAGTGGTGCCTGCCAGGCCAATGGGTGGGGTCAGGGCTGCCAGGGGCTAGGACGAGGGAAGGGTCCTGGAAACGCAGGTTCTGAGGCTCTGCGGAGGCTGCAGGGCCGCCCTGGGTGCCCAGGCGGGCAAGGGCAGGGGGAGGTGGGCACAGCCTGGAGAGGCGGGAGAGTGTGTGCGTGGTCTGTGGCTTTAGTCCTGCCTGACTCTTTGTGACTCCACGGACTGCAGCCCGCCAGGCTGCCCTGTTCATGGGGTTTTCCAGGCAAGAATACTCAAGGGAGTTGCCATGCCCTCCTCCAGGGGATCTTTCCAACACAGGGATCGAACCTGCATCTCCTGCCTTGCAGGCGGATTCTTTGTCCACTGAGTCACCTGAGAAGCCCCGAGAGGCAGGCGATGTGCCCCATTTTAGAGAGAGGAGAGCAGAGCTCCGAGAGGGGAGGGTGTCTGCCCAAGGCCACTCGCCTAGAAGTGGCATAGGAGTGGGCTCCTGGACCAGGGATGCCCAACTCCGGAGCAGGTGATGGGGCCTCCCTGTGAGGCCCAGCCACTCTGAGCCCTTCAGAGCCCAGGGTGCCTGGAGAGGGGCCTGTGGGGGTCCCGGAAGGCCGCCACCCCCAGGCCCTTCACATGGTGGAGGCCCTTCCTGGGATGGAGAAAGTCATTCTTGGGGGGACTTTTAGGCAGCCCCTCACCCAGCCCTTCCCAGATGGCGCTAGTGGAAAAGAACCCGCCTGCCAATGCAGGAGATGTAAGAGACGTGGGCTCGATCCCTGGGTCGGGAAGATCCCCTGGAGGAGGGCATGGCAACCCACTCCAGCTTTCTTGCCTGGAGGATCCCATGGACAGAGGAGCCTGGCGGGCTACAGTCCATGGGGTCACAGAGAGTCAGACATGACTGAGCGACTTAGCACACACGCACGTTCCCAGCCCTGGACAGCCTGGGTGTGACGGTGGCGCAGAGCAGCGGTGGGTGGGCGCCCACCTGGAGCCCACCTCGGTCTCTGAGAGCCTTGNTGGGGTGGGATGTGAGGGGCCCAGGTGTGGGGGGCGGGGGACGGGGAGGGGCCTTACCTCCGACCGCATAGATCTCCCCATTGAGCGCGGCGCTGGCGTGGTTTGTGCGGGCCTTCAGCATGGGTGCCACCGGCCTCCAGGTGGCCTCCTTCAGGGGGAAGCACCAGGCCTCCGTCGTGGACCACGCGTCCGTCCTGGAGCCCCGAGAGCCCCCTGCAGGAGAGGCTGTGTCCATTCGGGCGCCCACCGGCCTGGGGCCTCTGGGCGGGCGGGGGCTGAGCACCAGGGCTCCTGTCCCCTCCCCGGTGCCAGGCCTCTGTCCTGCCAGACGCTGGGCAGGGGGGGTGACCGCAGTGGCACGGTCTAGCCCTGTGACCTGCAGAGACCCCTCCACACCCCATAAACAAGCAGGACAAGGTCTCAAGCCTCCATCAGCAGAAGCTTTTTTCTCAACCAAACCTCCCGAGGACCCCCCCAACTTCTAAGATATAAAGCAGAGGGACAACCCCCTTCTTCACATGCTTCCTCCTGGGGAGACCCTAGGTGCAGGACAGAGCCCATGACACTGCCCCGTGCCCGCTTGTGGACCCATGGACTTGACATTCCCTTGTCTCTGTAGGATGAAAAGGTCTGCAAGAGTCTTGACCAAACGGTCAGTGATCCAGGCTTGGCATTCAGGGGTCAGCTCAGCCACAGGGCTCAGGACAGGGACCCTGCCCGCCCACCTGTCACGTAGACGTCGTTGTTGAGCGCCGCCAGCGAGAAACCCCACTTGTGGTGGTCGGGGAAATCCGGGAGGGCCATCCACCTCTCTGGGGGAAGACGGGGGGCAGTGTCAGGGTGGCTGGGTTCACTGTGGGGGGCCCCCCTTCCTGCTCAGTGCCTCTTCTGCTTGAGGGGGGCAGAAATGTCCCCTCACCAATGGGGGCAGAGGCTGGACTCAGCTAGGCACAGAGGTGGGGGACAGTGGGGTGGGTTCAAGGTGGCCCTGGGCACCCCTGTGCCCCAGGCTTGGCTCCAGGGGGTCCCTGGCTCCCCCTGCTGCTCTCAGAGCCTGGCACCCTGGGTGTGCGGAGAAGGGGTCCAGGTTCCAAGGGGCTGGCTGTCACCCTGACCCTGCAGTCAATCCCACTGACCCCGCTGGACTTTTTGGCCCTGAGTCAGGTCTCATCCCAATCAGATGGAGGAGGGGTTAAGGGCTGGCTGATCGCCAGCCAGGTGGGTCATAACACAAGCGTCTTCACTTGCTTCTCATCCCGAGCACCTTCTGGGCCCATGGGCAGCGGGGAGGGGCCAGATGCGGCCGTGCAGCTGGCAGAATGGGTCCCAATCCCTGCTCCCCTGCCCCAGTGCTGTGGCCTCGGACAAACCCCAGCCTCAGTTTCCTCATCTGTAGAATGGGGCTAACTTCTCTCCCAGTGGGTGGGGACTACGGGAGATGCGTCTGTCACACGGCAGCTGCCCAGCTGATGGTGGCTGTAAGAACGACTGTCCCTAAGGTGAGGCACAGAGCAACGTGCCCACGTTACTGCGCGAAGCAGTAATGGATCTGCTCCACGAAGCTACACGATCAAGAGATGACTTTGAAAAAATACAGAATGAGCAATAAAAATGTTTAGTCCTCTCTATGGACACATTTTGGGTGCTTGTGGAAGGCTGTGGGAGAGACCGGGCCTCTGGGATGTCCCCAGGAGGACTCCTGTTTATTATTTACAGCCGGACGGCGGTTTTCAGGACATGCGGAACCCCCTCTGGGCAGGGACTCCATGTCCCCCTGACTCACGTCTGTGTCACCCCAGGGTGGGGATTGCCCAGCGGTCACCAGGCCTTGGCCTGCCAGCGGTCCTGCTGCCCCCCCTCCAGGGTCTCAGGGACAGCTGCTCCCAGCTCATCTGTTGACGTCAGCCCCCAAATTCCCCCGTCAGCCCCTGACCTGGGACAGCCGGCCCCTGGCTTCCTGGAGCCTGCCAGTCGCTGACGCCATGGGGTGGTGGCCCCCTGCCCGGCAGCCCCAGGACGGCAGCCAGCGAACTGCTGATTTCCAAAGAACTTCCCGGGGCTGGTGTGGCGCCCACCCCAATCCCGAGCCTGGCTGCCCTCTCACCCTCCTTTCTGGTGGGGGGGGACCTGTGAAGGGGCTCCTGGGCAGGAGAGGCAGGCCTGCCCCTCACCCACCCACTGACTCCTCATCAAAAAGGCCATTTCACAGATGAGGAAACTGAGGCTTAAGGAGGCGAAGTGACCTGCTCAAAGGCTGGAATCGGGACCCCACTGGGCCGACCCAGATCCTGGGCTGTCACGCCCCAGGCTGTCTGCACCCCCAGTTCCCTGTGCTCCCCCAGGACTGAGGCCCTGTTAGACACACAGAGCAAGAGTGCCAAGGGGAAGCAGCTGCCAGCTGTCCCTCCCGCCCGGGCCAGTGGCCACTTTCCCACACCGGGCAGTCTGGGCGGGGGCCACTTTCCCCAGGTCCCAGTGCGTAGAACCCCAGAGTTAGGGCTGCGGCTGGAGGCAGAGGGGTCTGCCATGCCCCCCCGCAGTCTGCCTCCCTCCCCTGCTGGGGCCCAGGCTCCTCTGCGACCCCCCACCTCAAGGACAGAGGAGGCCCTGCACCAGGGCTGTGCGGCCCGCGGGTACTCACTGGCCTTGGTGTGGTAGAAGGCGAAGTTCCCGGCCTGGGGGTCCAGATCCTCGGCTCCCTCCTCCTCCTCCTCCAGTGCCCGCCCGCCCACCACCACCAGGACCTCCTCCAGCTTCTGCGGGAGGGCCAGCAGCGCCTGCGGGGCCAGGGGGCTGGGGTCAGTGGCAGGCCCTGTCCTCGGGCAGAGGGGCCTGGGTGCCGGCAGGCCTCCGCCGTATCTTCTGAGGCTGGCCGTGGCCTGTGCATTTGGGAGCCGCTGTGGGTCCACAGTGTGGCCCTGCATCAGTGCAGAAGTATGGGGTGGGGAGAGCTGCAGTGTGTGTGTGCCTGTGTGCACTTGTGCACATGTGTGGAGTGGGGTGAGTTGCAGTGTGTGTGTGCTTGTGCACACGTGTGGAGTGGGGTGAGTTGCAGCGTGTGCATGCCCGTGTGTGCTTGTGCACACGTGTGGAGTGGGGTGAGTTGCAGCGTGTGCATGCCTGTGTGTGCTTGTGCACACGTGTGGAGTGGGGTGAGTTGCAGCGTGTGCATGCCCGTGTGTGCTTGTGCACACGTGTGGAGTGGGGTGAGTTGCAGTGTGTGTGTGCTTGTGCATGAGTGTGCATGCATACATGTCCACATGCCATGGCCGCCATGGGCCGGTGAAGGTAAGTGCTCAGAACCTGGACAGGTGGGAGCCGGGTCCTTGTGGGCCTGAGCGTGAGGCCTGCTCCCTCCCAGCCACTCCCCAGTTCCCGCCCCACCATGCACAGGTGTTTCTGCACCACCTTTGGAACCAAGCCCCAGACCCTGTCCCCAGCCCCCCAGGTAGGCTCCCCTCCCCTGGGAGCCCAGCTCCCCTGTGCCAGCTGGGGTGGCCACCTGGGACGGCGCTGGGTGGCAGGAAATGCTGGAATATTTCTCGCTGGGGGAGAGCTCCCTGGATCCCAGAGTCCCACTGCCTCTCTGACCCGCCCTCCAATGTCCAGACCCCCCACCTCCAGCACCTACAGGGTCACCACCTCGTGGGCCGGTGGCTGGCGGCTGAACCCTGTCTCCGGCAGGCCAGTGGTGCCTGGGCACGGAGTGGCCAGTATTTGCCACCACACACCCCACCGCTGGCCTGAGCCACGTCTCTGTCCCCAGAGTTGGCTCCTAAGAGGTCCTTCTGAGCAAGGCCTGGAGCCAGCTGCCTAGAAGCAGACTTCAGCTCCTTGCCTCAGTCATAGTCTGGCCTGTCACTTCATTAAGGACCTGCCCTCTCACCAGGCCCACCGCCAGCCCAGATAGGAAATTGCACCCCATAAACGCTTGAGCAGCTCCCTAAGGGCAGGTGGTGGCTGGCTGCCACGCCTGTCTGTGCTCCTCATCTCTGTACAAGCTGTGCATTCTTCCTGGCTTATTTCCCCCTGCCGGGCTCCTATCTTTCCTCTAAAGCCCAGCTCAGATGCTGCCTCTCCCAGGCAGCTCTCCCTGACTGTCTGCCCCTCAGAGGACACCCAAAGTCCAGCACTAGCCTTTCTCATGCTGCTTGGGTGTGTTTCGAGGGGATTTCCCCGTCAAGCTGTGGGCTGGGGATGACCACTTCTGGGTCGCCTATCCTCACAGGCAGGAAGTAGCACACGTAGGGGTGCGGTACATACTTAGGAGGTGAACCGACCCCAGGGAGGTGGCGTTGCAGGCTGGGGACACCTTGGGGATGCCCACTTCATCCCGTCTGTCCCCATGCGGGTGGGGTCTCGGGGCTCCTCTCCCTGCTCCCCGCCTGTCACTCACCCCCTCGTGGCCCTGGACCAGGGCCTCCCGACAGGCCTCGGACTCCCGGATCAGCGGCTCCGAGGCCAGCAGCTGCTGCACATGGGGCCTGGGCACGGCATCCAGGTGCACCAGGCCGAGCAGCTCGGGCAGGTGGGCGGCCCGGACCTGGGGGTCGTGGCGTACCCAGCGCAGCAGGGCCTCCAGCCGGCTCTGCTCTGGCTGCACCTGCAGCAGGTCACCGGCCAGGCAGGCAGCCAGCCGCTCCTGGGACAGCTGGAGGAACTCGTCCTCCCGGACCACGGCCTCGAAGTTCTCCCGCAGGAAGGCCCAGGCCTTGGCGGCCACGCCCAGCAGCCCCTGCTGTTCCCCAAACTCGCAGATGCCCAGGCAGTTGGTGGCGTCGAGCTGCTGCTGCAGGTAGCGGCCGCAGACCTTCTGCACGGCGGGGAAGTGCAGGCGCGCGGCCGTGCGGGTCAGTGCCTCCACGTTGCCCTGGGTGACGGTCAGCCGGCCCGTGTACACGAAGTCCACCAGCTGAGCCACCATGGCGGGCTCCACGTCCCGCAGCTCCACGCGCGCCGAGCAGCTTTCCGCGAAGTCGCCGGCGAACATGGCGTGGAAGTAGGGGCTGCTCAGCGCCAGGAGCCCGCGGTGGCAGGGCAGCTCCTGGCCGCCCACCAGCAGCGTGACGTCCACCAGCTTGGGCTGCGAGCGCAGCCGCTGCAGGCCATCCAGCACATCCTGGGCATGCGAGGGCAGGTGGAAGTCCAGGTCGTCCACGTTCCGCACCATGACCGTGAGGTTCACCTACTCACGGGCGTCCACGTGCGGGCTCCTGGGGAGAGGAGCCAGCAGGGTCAGCCAGGGGGACTGTCTTGTTGGCCCGAGTCGCCTGTTGGGCTGACTGTCGGTTCAAGCATCAACCATGTGTGAAGCGCTTCACCCAGCCTCTCACCTAAGCCAGCCCCGAGGCCCTGGGAGGCGGAGGCACTGTCTTTCCCAGGTGAGGCGGTTGAGGCTCAGAGAGGCTAGGCAGTCGGGGCAGGACGGGCCAACAAGAGTACCAAGCCTCAGCCCCTCTCCGCACCGCTGGACTGTGCAGAACAGGCCCCCTGGAGCACGGGGGTCCCTGCCACCCCCAAACCCTCCTAGTGGCCTCCTCTATCCCCACATCCCCCCTTGCTGGGAGGGGCATCTGCCTCTGAATAGTTTCAGCCCCATGGGTCCTTACTGGCCCATGGTTACGGGGAACCTCTGTTGCCATGACCTTGCTGGGTGACCTTGAGTGAGCCACGCCCCTCTCTGGTTCCGACATCTGCAGATGGAGAGGCTGGAGGTGAAAGGGCTGGGGCATCAGCCGTGCCCTCCCCGCGCCCCCCACAGACCAAGCCATCCTGGACTTTGCACAAACACCAGCCCTCATGGGAACCCCACCAGCCAGTTGCTGTTCACGTCCCTTTAAAGGTGAGGAAACAGAGGCAAAAAGAGGCTCAAGTCCCTTATCCAAGACCACACAGCTCGGGGGTCCCGGGCCCCCGGACCCCCCCATGTTACATGTTGCTGGACGTAGGTTGGTAAAGACAAGCAACCAAAAGAGAGCAATCTCAGTTCGAATCGCCTGATCCAGAAAATGCACTTCTGGGCTAATTTAATTATGCGCACATTTCCTTACTATCTTCTGATATTTTTGCCCTAAGAAAACCGCCCCAGAGAAAAGCAAGTTCTGCGCAGCTGTTCTTCCCCAGAGTGACCACACAGCAAGAAGCTGTACCCTGAGACACCGCGTGTCCACCAGGGGGCGCCTTAGCAGCCGACAAAGCGAAGGCCAGTGCAAAATGCCGGGTCCACCCAGTGCCATGGAAACGACAAAGCCCCCTGAGGAGAGCTTGCACTGTGGCCGCCCCAGGGCAGCTGTGCCTGTGGCGGGAGCTTGAGGCATACAGAGAAGCCACCCAGAGGCCCAAGAACCTGCCTGGGCTCCGGTGGGTCAGGACGGGTCCGGGGCCCTGGTGGGCGTCCAGCCTGCCTCACCCGCTCCCCACAAAGCCCTCTGGCTGGAAGGAAGGCAGCGTGTCCCTCTCAGGGGAGCGCAGGAGCTTAGTCAGGCTGCCCCCGCTCCAAGCAGCCGGGGGCCAGCGGGCGGGGGCGCCTGGCACCTTCCCAGGGAGCCTCAGGTCATCTGCTGACACCTGCCGCCCTGCAGTCCTCGCCGGGGGCCGAGCATTCTGGGGGGCTCAGAGCCCCCCACCCAGTGCCTGTCAGGCCGGGAGTGAGGAGGGCAGAGCGGGCAGGACAACAAAGGGCCTCAATCCAGCTCTGGCCAGGGCTGGACGCCGCGGCCCTGGCTGCAGGCAGAGGTGTGGTTCAGCCTTCCCCCCGCTTCTCCAGAAGGGCCTGGAGGGAAGCAGGCCCGCTGAGCCCCCACCCCAGTCCCCCGGGGCTGGGTCTAGGCCGTGTGCAGGTCTCTCTGCACAGCACCCAGGACTGGCATCGCCAGGCCCACTGGGCTGTCCACTAGAAGCCCCCCTCCCCTGCTGGTCCCAGCCCTGGTCCTCCGCTCCCTCTTCCGGCTGCCCCCCACCATCCTACCTTTCAGTGGGCACCGAGACCTCGTCTCAGAACGCAGGCTGGAGAACACGACTGCCCAGCTGGCCAAGGGGCACGGAGGACCTGCTGGGATATGACGGGGCCAGGCTGGGCTGGGCTGGGCCGGGCTGGCAGCCACGTGGGGACAGAAGGGTATTTTTAGCCTCTGTCAGAATCGGGTGGGGGGGGGTGGCCAGCAGGGGGAGGAGGGAGGAGAGAGGTGACAGCTCCTCTCTGCCTGTCCTCTCTGAATGACCATGCTGGCCGGGAGCCTCCTGTGACCCCTGGGCCAGGACAGACGGCAGGAAGCACCCGGGGAGCAGCACGTCTGGGGTGCTCCCCTCCGGGGTGTGGGCCCCCTCACTTCTGTGTTTTTTCATTGGCAAGAGGGGCACAGTGAAGCCTGAGCTGAGGACTCAGGGGCAACACGGAGCCCCCAGTTCAGGAGCAGGGTGTCATGAGGACCCGGCATGTGCCAGCTTTCCTGTGGTTATTGACAGGGGCGCATGTGGCCTCTTATTTTCCATCAAGTGGGAAAAAGTGACCATGGTGAGGAAATGGGGGTTGCTCAGCAAAGCCTTTCAAACCTGGGGTCTTGGTGACGGGGAGTTCTGGTGGTGAAGGAGGGGCTCAGAGCGGCACCCCCCAGGCTGGTGACAGGGGTGTGCAGTCCCGAGGCTCTGTCCACTTGTGTCGCGGCCTTGGCCTTGGGCCTGCCCTGCTGTCTTCATTAGTTGTGATGCCGAAGAAAGCCAAGAAACGGGATGGTCTAAGAATACAGCCGCAGAGGCTCGTGGCCTCCTGGGAGGCCTGGGTTCACAGTGTCACAGGGGAACTCCTGACATCTGGATCTCTGCAGGCCCTGGGGTCACAGGCCCGGACCGAGTTTGAGGTTGAGCCCAAACAGCAGGGCATCTCTCGTGCCAGGGGTCAGAGAGAAGTTCCCAGCCCCGGGCCTTCAGGTACCAGGGAGGCCAGCTGGGGGCCTCTGCCTGTCAGCCCCTCTGTCTTGTACCCGCTCGGGCCTCACCAGCACAACCAGTTTCTAGGTGTGCTTGGACGTGGAGGAGTCAGGTGGCCAAGGCTGACCAGCCTCCCAAATCCCACTGGGGACTGTCTGATGCTCTTACAGGGCAGAGAGGCCTGGGGGCACCAGGGTGATGGGCCCTACTCCTGGCAAGATAAGGGAGGTTCCCCAGGGTGTCTGGATGTCAGGACAGCATGGCTTTGGGACAGCGGTCTCCTCCCGGGCACAGGACGGCTGGCCCGGCTTCCTGCTGGGGCGCTGGTTGTGAACTGGCCCCAGTCTCTGCTCTCATGTGAGAGTGTGGTCATCACACAGACACTGCAGGGATCGCCTCCCCGACCACGTGTTCACCAGGCCTCCCACATGCTGCTCACTCACAGGTGTCCTTACCCAGCCCAGCTCAGCCCAGTCCAGTCATAGCCCAGCTCAGCCCAGTCCAGTCATAGCCCAACCCAGCTCAGCCCAGTCATAGCCCAGCCCAGCCCAGTCCAGTCCAGTCTTGTCCCAGTTCAGTCCAGCCCAGTCACATCCCAGTTCAGTCCAGCCCAGTCACATCCCAGTTCAGTCCAGCCCAGTCATATCCCAGTTTAGCCCAGCCCAGGCCAGCCCAGTCACATCCCAGTTCAGTCCAGCCCAGTTCAGCCCAGTCTAGCCCAGTCATATCCCAGTTTAGCCCAGCCCAGGCCAGCCCAGTCACATCCCAGTTCAGTCCAGCCCAGTCCAGCCCAGTTCAGCCCAGTCTAGCCCAGTCATATCCCAGTTTAGCCCAGCCCAGGCCAGCCCAGTCATAGTCCAGTTCAGCCCAGCCCAGTCATAGCCCAGCCCAGCCCAAGGTCCTGCCCCTTCCCCAGAGTCCCAGGACTCCCCCTAGCCTTCCTTAGCATCAGCCTTACTCTTGGGGGCCTCATGGATGTCTCCAGCTCTCGCCGTGTCCAGGGCCACCCCGGAGAAGGCATTGGAGGGGGAGCAGAGGCATTGCTTTTACCTCCCGACCCCAGCCCCCACTTTGTTTGCGGGCAGAGCACAAAGGGTTAATGCACCCCTGACTTGGGCCGCAGGAGACAGGACAAGCGATGCTGATGACAGGCCAGGGTCACAGGCAGCTCCCCCCGGTTCCCCTTCCCCTTGTGTACAGCGCTGGGCGCCAAGAATGGATGCCCTACGGGGACCCAGCGCCTCGGATGACAGGTCAGTTTGGGAAACTCGAAACCAGGGGCTCAACAGATCCTCATCATCAGATTGCTCCCCAGTGGGGCAATTTTTAAAAATATGCTGCTTGTTTCTTTTTATGATGATAAAAATAACACATGTTCATGGTGGGAGATTTGGAAAACACAGAAAGACACAAAGCAGAAAAACGGGTAGAAGACAATCCCTGTGAACACACGGGGGTTAGAATGACTGCAGTGTGTCCTGTATTGTTTTATCATGATACTCTATGGTGAGCATTTCTGATGTGGTGAGTCATTTCTGATGTGATGAGTCTTTGGACCATGTGATTTTTAATTCCATCATAATGGGGACACATCACACTTTAAATACCCGGTCACTTCTAGTAATGGACGTGCAGGTTGTGAGCCATGCGGACTGTGATGACGAATGCGGTGTCACCTCTGTGCCTTCCCCTGGAACAGATTGGAGCATGAGATGACCGCGGTAAAGCACACAATTGTCTTTATAGCCCGATGCATGGACAGAGGGTCATCCAGCTAGGGTGACCGAGGCACTTACCAGCAGGAGGTAAGACCGCCCCTTATTTTCAGCCTGCCCCAGTCTCCCTGTGAGGTCCTGCACAACCAGACCTGCCCACCCCCTCAGCAGGTGTTTCACAGATTTACTTGCTCACAGTATCTCTTATTCCATCTGGGATTTATTTGGGGCATGGGGTGCCATAAGGTCATATATTTTCTCCCCCAAATAGTTCCCAATACTCTCAGTATATTATTAACAATCCCTTCTTTCCCCCACGGATTTGCTGCAGCACCTCTATAGAAAAAGGGCAATGTTTTCTGTGTGAAGTGTCTCTTCTGCTGATTTGAATGAGCATATTCTAAGGTCAGAGCAACCCTAGTTCCATCAATGGACTATTACTCTATAATTATAATTATTATATTAGTCAATCAATGGACTATTACTCTTTGTAGCTGAAATTTAAGCCTCTTCGTCACTCTTCTATTTAAAATCTTCTAGTCTGTTGCATTAGTTAGCTATTGCTGCATGACAAATGACCCCAAAGTCTAGTGTTGTAAAACAGCGAACGTTTATTATCTCACAGTTTCATGGCTCTGGGACTGCTTTAGTGGGTGGTTCTGCCTCAGGATCTGTCCATAGCTGGTGCCAAGGGGCCCACTGGACGTCAGTCACAGGACAGAGGCTGGCCTGGGACAGAGGTCCACACCGACCTCTCCACAGCACTACTCCTAACACGGTGGCCGGCCTCTCTCAGAGATGAGACAGCAGCAAAGATGGGAGTCTTTCATAACCTACTTGGAGGTGCAGCCTGTGGCTTCCGCCATATTCTGAGCTACAGTGAGGGAGAGACTCCACCAGACGTGGTACCAGGAGGCAGGCTCCCTGGAGGCCTTCTCGTAGGCCGGCCTCCACAGCTGGCTTTGTTCACGCTTTATCACCACTAGCACTACCTGGGAAGCCAGCTTTGTTCATGGTTTCTTTTCAAAGAACTTTAGAGTTGTTAAAAAAAAAAAAAAAAAGAGTTTGACTCTTCTAAATCCAAGCACTGACATTCAAATAGCTTACACTGTTACAGTATTTATTCTCATCATGAGAAATACGTACCACCTCGGGTACAGCATTTTCTTCACATTTGTCCTGCACACATTTGCAATGGGCCAGGGAGAGAGACCGGGCTCCCCTTCTCCAGTATCTTCCCGAGTCTTCTGGAAGCCTCTGGTTCTGCACCTTGTTTTGTGTCTGGTCACCTCACTGAAGTTTGCACCCTCTGGATCCCTATGTAGGGGCTCTGCGGTCCTCAGTGGGGTTTTGACAACTGGACACCAAAATTAAAGGGCCCTACAGCTGAGTGTGGCCTTGCTGGGCCAGCGCCCCCCCGCCCATGGCAGTGGACACCTGTTTCCCACAGGTGGGTTGCTAGTGGGGTTCCGAGGTCACTGAGCATGGGAATCACTTGGAACATCTTTTAAATAACAAACCAGCTTTCTCCGGCCCAGCCCAAGGGACTCAGGGTTCCTGGGGTGTGCTCAGGATACAGAGTATTTATAAGGAGGCCCCCAGGAGGCAGAGTGCCTGCAGAGGGGCACTTGGGGAGTCGCCCGTGAGTGCCCAGAAGAGGTCCTTTCCCCCCGCCAGGCCTCTCGCTGGGGTCTGAGCGCCCCCCACTACCTAAAGCTGGAGCCCCAGTCCTCCTGGAGTCCCGGATGCTCATGGGAACATGAGAGTCAGGGCCATGGAGGGCCTTGCCCGAGGCCACAGTAAGGGGGGGGTGCCCCCACTTGGGTGTGCAGGCCTCCTGCTCACGGTCTCCTGAGTAGCCCTGGTCAGCAGCCCACCTCTGGGGCTCAGCTCTGCATCTGCCGCCCACCCTGGGCCCGCCTCCTCAGACAACAGGGTCCTGTGGGTGACCCAGGGGAGGGAGACATCAGAGCATCCACCACCTTCTGACCCCCACCTCCAGGCTCACCCCGTTTCACCTTGGGCCTGCACCCCGCCAGCCCAGGCAGCAGCAGAGTCCTGTGGCCCAGCCCTTGTCTGGCTCCAAAGGTCAAGCTTCGGGGCCAAGAGCCAGGGCCTCAACACTGTGCGGGATGCGTGCGGCTGCCTGGGGCCAGGGCCGTGCTCCTGAGCACGTGCTCCTTAAAATACTAATGCGGCTGGCAAGCTTCACTGTCATCCCAGGACAGAGACCCCCATACGGGGCTTCAGTCCATCCTCACCAGGACCCCGGGGATGCGCGGGTCAACACCGTACCCCCATTTTACAGATGAGGACGTGGACACTCTGTGGGATAAGGACGCTGCCTCTGGGGCTTCGGCTGAGTGAGCACTGAGGTTTGGGTGTGCCCCAGCAGGGCCCCCTCTGGGCTCAGGGGCAAGAGGCACGCACAGGAAGTCTGGCAGGAACAGGTCTTTATTTAGCAAACTCACGTCCGGTGTCGACCCTGCAGGAGGGCTTGGACCCAGAACCTGGCCAGCACCGCCCCCTTGACCAGCCCACGGAAGCCCCGACGGCCTGACCCCCCCACTTTATTTCTTCCCTGGCATCCCTCCCTGAGACGTCAAGCCAGCAGCCTGGGAGGACCCCCATCCCCCACAGCTGGCCTGAGCCCTCCCAGCCCTGCAGGCAGGGAGGAACAGGCAAGAGAGCTGTCCTGGGGGGCTTCTGCAGGGAGGGGAAGGCCGTGGAAGGTTCCTGAAACCTCTTCCCCACTCCTGCCTGTGGGGCCAGCGCACAGCTGCAGGATACCTCTCCCTGAAGGCCCCTGGACTCCGCACCCTGACCAGGAGGATGCGGGAGGGAAGGCCAGTCTGACAGGAAGGCCTCCTGCCCCTCAGATCCTGTTCCCCCAGCTCGTCCCTCACTTCACAGAAGGGGGAGGGGAGCTGCAGAGGGGGAGGGGCAAGGCCCAAGGTCACCAGGCTTCACAGGTGGGGGAGGGGGGCCGTGGAAGGGGAGGGGAATGGCTCAAGGTCACCAGAAGGAATGGAGTCGGCATTGGAGGAGGGCAGACAGAGGCTCAGGATGTGACCAGAACTGGCCTGAGCCCTCCCAGCCCTGCAGGCAGGGAGGAACAGGCAAGAGAGCTGTCCTGGGGGGCTTCTGCAGGGAGGGGAAGGCCGTGGAAGGTTCCAGAAACCTCTTCCCCACTCCTGCCTGTGGGGCCAGCGCACAGCTGCAGGATACCTCTCCCTGAAGGCCCCTGGACTCCGCACCCTGACCAGGAGGATGCGGGAGGGAAGGCCAGTCTGACAGGAAGGCCTCCTGCCCCTCAGATCCTGTTCCCCCAGCTCGTCCCTCACTTCACAGAAGGGGGAGGGGAGCTGCAGAGGGGGAGGGGCAAGGCCCAAGGTCACCAGGCTTCACAGGTGGGGGAGGGGGGCCGTGGAAGGGGAGGGGAATGGCTCAAGGTCACCAGAAGGAATGGAGTCGGCATTGGAGGAGGGCAGACAGAGGCTCAGGATGTGACCAGAACCACGGGCACGGGAGGAACTGAGAGACGGGAGGTCCTGGTGACTCAGTGGGGACTGGAGGACGGCCAGTGGGGAACAGGCTGGCATCAGAGGCGCCCAAGAGACGTGCAGGCCGAGGGCATGGGCAGAGCCCACGAGTAATCCAAGGGCAGGGCGACTGGGGTCCTGAGAGATGCGGCGGTGACAAGGGGGGCTCTGAGCCCAGTCTTGTAGCCTAGGAGGAAGCCGTCAGGGGGCAGACATGGAGGGTGGCAACTAGCACGCTGAGGCCCTGCCGGCCTGGTCCCAAGGCTCACCTGGCCACCAGGTAGGCGAACAGGAAAAGAGAGAAGAAAAACCAAAACCACCCCAAACCCGCTCCAGAGGAAGGCAGGCCTCCGGTCCACGTCACTCCCCAAAGCCGAACATCTCGGCTTCCTTCTCCTTCCAGAAGGCGAAGCTCCGGTCGATGTAGCCACAGATGTCCTCGTTGTTGAAGCTGCCTCGCTGGGGGCCGGACCCCAGCCTCTGCGCTGCGGGCTCGGGGCTGCCGGAGCCCGCGTGAGGCAGGGGCCCAAGCGGGGTCAGGCCCGACTTGCGGCCGGGCTCCGCGTCCCGGGTGGGACTGTGGCTGGAGCCAAAGAAGCGGGCTTTGATGTCCTCGAAGCCGTCGGTCCAGGCACGGCGCCCGGCGGCCACCTCGTCAGTCACGGCCTTGTGGAAGGCACGGGCCGCCTCCCAGCCGTGGGCGCCCAGGTGCTCAAAGACCTCGAAGCACAGCAGGTGGCGCATCTTGCGCTCCTCGGCCGGCAGGTTGCACTCCAGGAGCTGGAAGTAGCCCAGCATGAAGAGGTCTAGCGTGAGGCTGCCGTAGGGCACCGGCGCCCCATCCACGTGGGGCAGGAACTGCTCAGGGGACAGGGGCCCGCAGGGCCGCCGGCTCAGCCGCCGCAGCTGCCGGGCAGGCACGTGGGCCAGGACGGCCTTCCAGTGGCCCAGCAGCTGGGCGATGGTGCTGCGCTGCTGCCAGAGGCGGCTGGGCCTCGGGCTCTCGCTGGGTGGTGGGGAGGGCGGCAGGGGGCTCCTGGCTGCCTCCTGCCCCTGCGGCCCCACACGCTGGGCCTCCAGGGTCCTGCAGGCCGCTGTCTTGAGCGCTGGCATGTAGGCCGATTTCTTCCAGTGGCTGAGAAAGAGGGTGACGATGCGCTCCTTGCGAAGGCTGGCCAGGTCCGGGCCCGGCGTGGCGCCCGCCTCCGATGGAGCCTCCTCACAGCTGATGCCTGAGTCACTGGCCTCCTCCGTGTCACCCTGCCCGGGCCTCCCTCCTATCGGGCCGCCGCAGGGCAGGATGGGGGCAGGCCAGCAGCCCCTCGGGCATGACCCTGGCTGGGCCCCTGGCTCACAGGGGACAGGGCTTGGGGTGCAGGGCCGGCCGGGGGCTGACTCGAAGTTGCCGCGGAGCATCCTCACAGACACCCCACACTCTCGGATCTCGCGCTGGGCCTCGCTCCTCGGGGGGCTGGCCGGGGCTGGCCTGGGGGCCTCCCTGGGGGCCTCTGGGGGGGCTCTCTCTTCGCCCTGCACCAGCCCGTTCACGCCCTTCAGGAGCAGGGACAAGCTGTAGCCGCCGCAGCTGCCGGGCAGGCACATGGGCCAGGACGGCCTTCCAGTGGCCCAGCAGCTGGGCGATGATGCTGCGCTGCTGCCAGAGGCGGCCGGGCCTCGGGCTCTCGCTGGGTGGCGGGGAGGGCGGCAGGGGGCCCCTGGCTGCCTCCTGCCCCTGCGGCCCCGCACGCTGGGTCTCCAGGGTCCTGCAGGCCGCTGTCTTGAGCGCTGGCGTGTAGGCCGATTTCTTCCAGTGGCTGAGAAAGAGGGTGACGATGCGCTCCTTGCGAAGGCTGGCCAGGTCCAGGCCCGGCGTGGCGCCCGCTTCCGATGGGGCCTCCTCACAGCTGATGCCTGAGTCGCTGGCCTCCTCCGTGTCACCCTGCCCGGGCCTCCCTCCTATCGGGCCACCGCAGGGCAGGATGGGGGCAGGCCAGCAGCCCCTCGGGCATGACCCCGGCTGGGCCCCTGGCTCACAGGGGACAGGGCTTGGGGTGCAGGGCCGGCCGGGGGCTGACTCAAAGTTACCGCGGAGCATCCTCACAGACACCCCACACTCTCGGATCTCGCGCTGGGCCTCGCTCCTCGGGGGGCTGGCCAGGGCTGGCCTGGGGGCCTCCCTGGGGGCCTCTGGGGGGGCTCTCTCTTCGCCCTGCACCAGCCCGTTCACGCCCTTCAGGAGCAGGGACAAGCTGCGCACCAGCCGAGCGACGTGGCTGCACCAGAAGGGCAGGGCCTGCCCACCGGGCGTGGCCTGCGAGGCCCCCTCCTCGGAGCCCCGGGGTGCGGCCTCCTCGGCCTCCAGCCCGGGCCCCGGGGACAGGAAGCGGCTGTTGACGGTGATGCTGACCAGGGGTGCAGGCAGCAGGGCCTGCAGCTCGGCCGCCAGCTGGCCCAGCTCGTTCTCGTACTCCTGGCAGCGGCGCCGGAGCTGCAGGTCGGCGATCTGCTTCTCCAGGTACACCAGGTCGTCCTCGGTCAGCAGCTCCCCGAAGGGGCCCAGGATGGCCTGGTGCGTCTGCGAGTACCGCCAGGCCGCCTGCTCCATGGGGTCTGGGTGCCCGCCATCGTCCTGGACACAGGGAGGGCAGGTCAGCGGGGACGCAGCCCACATGGCGCGCTCTGGTCGGACACAAGCTCCCCTGGGCGGCCCAGCCCCAGGGAGCCCTGGGGACCCTGGCTGGCGCCTGCCTGGGCTCAGAGAGTAAAGGAGGTGACAGGCCAGCCCCAGGCCCCAGCCCGAGGCTCAGGGCAGTTCTCACCCCAGGCAGAGCCAGTCTTGCCCTCAGAAGGGGCAGGGGTGCCTCTGCTCTGCCACCCCAAGTCCTCCTCCTCTCGTCTGTGGTGAAGTCAAAGACTGTCCCCAGGGCCCTCTGGATCCCTGCACAGGATGTCCTGTGGGTGGGCAGTGTCCCCAAGGAAGGGCAGCCTCTGAGTTCTCATGGTGTGTGGCCAGCTCTACCCCAGAACATCACCCCTCGGGGCTCCCCCTGACGCCAGGATACGGCCTGACCCCAGGGCTCGCAGTCTGTGGGAGACAGACACAGAGCCTCCCAGCTGGGGTCCCTCTGGGTGGCTGCGTGCCCGCCCGGTCACTCCTCCGAGACCCCCCGAGCGAGGTCCTGTGTCTGCCCCACCTCACAAGTGAGGAGCATGAGCTCTTGCCTAGTTGCCAAGAAGCCCAGGGTCATCTGGTGCAGGTGGGCACTCGGCACAATAAGCCCCCATGAGGCCTGGGGCAGAGAGGGGAGACTGGGGAGTGTTTGGACCACAAGTGTCAGGCCCAGAACTCGCAGCCAATGGCCAGGCTGTGCCCAAGCCCATCCCCTGCCCTTTTGGCCTGTTTTCTGTTTCCCTGAGTTCTTCACACACCCTTGGCTCTGCCCTAAGGGCAGATTCTAAAGGGCCTCCTGGCTGTGATAGGATGCCCCACCCACTCCGGCCTTGCTCCACCCCCAACCCCACGGGCATTCTGGACCAGCTGGGCCACTAGACCAGAGCCGCCCAACACTTCTGAGATGAGGGAGAAGGTATGCCGAAAACCCTGCGGGAGCCACTCCTCAGAAGTGCAGCTAACTCAGGAGCAGGGGCATTTATTTCACTTGAAATCCTTTAAATAGCCTCAGCTGCTGGGACAGATTGAAGGCAGGAGGAGAACGGGACGACAGAGGATGAGATGGTTGAGTGACATCACCAACTCGACGAACAGGAGTTTGAGCAAGCTCTGGGAGTTGGTGATGGACAGGGAAGCCTGGCGTGCTGCAGTCCATGGGGTCACGAAGAGTCGGACAGGATTGAGCGACTGAACTGAACTGAACTGAAATAGCCACAAGTGGCTGGCCTTATGGTATTAGCAGGGCAGCTCTAGACAAAGGGTTGCAGAATACATCATTCAAGACAAAGCCACACCCCTTCAGGATACAACTCTAGAACTGCTGTCTACTGGGCGGCCGGAGGGTTAAAATCCAAGTCAGACCAGAGCCCTTCCCTGCTCAGATTCTCAAAGGCTCCCCGAAGGTCCTGTAATGCCTGCCTGTCCCCTCTCTGCCCTCACCTCTGCGCTGCCTCCCCCTGCCCCCCGCCCCCCCAGCTTGGACCAGCCCACCCTGACTCAGGACCTCTGCACTTGCTGTTGCCTCCACTCACAATTGCTTGTCCTTCATCCCCAGAGGGCTCACCCCTCACTTCTGCGTGACTCCTGCTCAAGGACACTCTCCAGAGAGGCTGCCCCTGAGCACCCGGACAAAGCAGCCCCCTCCCCTTTCCACTGCCTTCTCTCCACAGCAGTTGGACCCTCCCTCCCCCACTCCCCAACACCCCCAGCACAGTTGCCCAGTCACTCCACCTTCCCTGCTGGCATAGAAGCATCAAGGGGCAGGGCTGGTCCCCTTCACCGCCGAGAACAGAGTCTGATATGCGGCGGGCAAGACATACAAATCGTTGAGATCAAAGAACACGTGGGCAATACTAAGTCAGTTGAAAGGGCACTGCTCACAGCCCTCTGATCTGGTTCAACCTCATCGTCTGGCAGAAGAGGAAGCCGAGGCCACAGAAGGACATGCAGTGGGGTACCCAGGTCTCAGGACTCGAGGTGTGGGCTCAAGAACCCACCTTCCACGTCTACCTGCTGGTACTAAGTCTCCTGCCCCAACTCCGCCTTCTACACCCTGGTCCCACCCGGGCCCAGCCCACCTCCCGCGACGCCCCGCCCTCCAGGCCCCGCCCACGCCTGACCACGCCCCATGGCTGGCCCCGCCTTGCGTCTGGCCACGCCCTACCTCTGGCCCCACCCCGCACCTGGCCCCGTCCCCACCTCGCCGGACCTGGGCCTCTGGCGCCGCTGGAGCTGCGCCCAGGCGTGCCTGCAGCTTTCGCACCATCACCTGCCGCTTCCACTCGGGGATGGGTCGGCCGCGCTCATCCCGCGTGGGCACCAGCCCGTCGAGGTCGCCCAAGCGCATTCCGTCTAGCTGCAGCGCGACCAGGCTGTCCGGGGCGCCCCCCGCCACCGTCTCCGCCCCCTGTGTGGACGCAGGCAGGTCATCCGAGGAGGCCCGTAGGAGACTGCCGCCCAGGAGCGAGAGGAGGGGAGGGCCGGCCCGGAGGAGCACAGCTGCGGGAGGAGGGGCATGGGGGCTGCCCAGGGAGGACGGAAGAGCTGACCACTACTGCACCCCCAGCTGTTCAAGTGTGAGGCTTCGGAGCACAGGGGCCCCCGTCCCTGTGTGACCCCGGTATGTGTGGGAAGGCTCGTATGCTGAGAGACTCCCCCCCACTCAGTGCATGGCAGAAAAGAGGTTGCTCCGAGCATGCCGTGTGGATGGGGAAACTCATTTGGGGAACAGCTGCATAGACAAAGCCTGGTGGCCAATCGTGGGCTGCAGGACTTGTCAGAGCCTTTAATGTGCTGTGTGCGCTGTGACTGCACTTGCCAGACTTGCACAGAACAGCTCAGGGGCTGGGAGCTCCCAGCCAGAGTAGGAAATCGATGGTGGGGCGAGGGACAGCAGGGGGCGCCAGGACCAGCCTTCCCATGGACGGATGCTTTCCTGTACGGTGACAGCAGCATCTGTCAAGGTGAGGGGCTTGACCCACTGGGACCCCCTGGGATCAAGGACGGTGGCATTTCCACTCTGATGGGTGGACATTTGCTTGTGGCCTTGAACTCCCATCTCCCCAGAAGCTGGGTGTGCCCCCCACCCCAGGCCAACCCGTCATCCCAGGGACCTTCTGGGTTCCACCTGGAGTGGGAGGGAAGTGCCTGGCTGCCCCCAGAGTGACCTGGCCAGGGCCGGCATAGGAGACCATGCTGAGAGGCCAGCTGGGTTTGGGCTGGGGGTCTTGGAAGACAGCCACATGGCGGGGGCACTCACCGTGGGGACGGCCATGGCACCAGTGGTGACCCTTGGGGGCGCCGTGTGGGCTGTGTGCTCCCTCGGAGGAGGCTGGTCTGGCTGGCCGGGCCAGGCTGGGCTGAGAGACGCTGCTGCTGGGAGGAATCCTGGGAGGAATCGGGAGCTGGTGTCAGAGGCGGGGGTGGGGTGGGGAGCAGAGGACCCCAGACCGGGGCACAGCCAGCCTTCCTGAAGGACCACTGGACCAGGAGCTGAAGGCCAAGCCAGCCCCGACCAAGCGCCCTGGGCAAACTCACTCGTCGCTGCGATCCCATGGGTGTCCATGGGGCCAGCTGCAAGCCCAGCCAGCTGGGGAGCCTGCATTTTACCCACCTCATCCTAGCCATGGCCTCTCCCTCCTCCCCACTCTCCTACGGCCTGGAAGGAGCTAGAAAGGGTGTAGCCTTCGGTAGCCTGGGGACCAAAGGTAGCCCCATCAGAGCAAACCTTGTCCTTTTATGACTCCCCACTCCACTGCACGTGTGTGCGCGTGCACGCACACACACACACACACACCCCTACCTATGCGTGGCTACCTAACTACCACCCATTCCACAAAGCACATGTACCCTCACTACACATGGGGCCTGCTGACATTTTTCACGCTACCCCATTCTACTTACTTCATTTTGATAAATGCTGGTCCCGGTCCCCCTAGCGGGTGGTGACCTGCGGTTTGAGGACCACCTCCCTGCCCCCTGCTGGAGTCTCAGGAACAGCAGTGGAGAGAGTCGACCTCTGCCGTCCCTCTGGACGAGCTGAGGCCCAGAGAAGGACGGACTGCCTGGGACCCCAGCAGCAGGGGAGCTGGACTGCGGGGGCTCGGGGCTCACAGAGACGCCGGAGGCCTGGGCAGGAGGCAGTTTAAGTGTGGTCGTAGAGCGTTCTGTCCTCACTTTAGCGAGGTGGCAGGGCGATAATGGAATCCCGGGAGAGCTGGGGGGCTGGCCCCAGCCCGGGCTTCGGTGCCCTCTGTGCCCAGCTGTCCAGCCTTGCCGCTCCCCACACCCCAAGCCCCCTTGGAGGACCTCAGAGGGGAGGCCAGCAGGGCCCAGTCCCTGCGCCCCCGGCCTGGGCCAGCCCCCCTCCCACGGACGCGTTTACTCACGGGTGGGGCTCCCAAGGCCTGCGCCCCCACTTCCGCCATCCTCCGGGGGATGTCTGGCGGCCGACAGCGGAGGAGGGGGGAACGGCGGGGGTGGGGGGGTCATCAGGAGCGGCACCTGGGGGTGTACAGGCCTGGTCAGCCAAGGTGGGGGCACCGAGCCCTGGCCTGGTCTCCCTGGAGTGGGGCTGGGAGAGGGAAGTGTGTGGGGGCGAGGGGCGGTACCCCTGGAGGTTATGCCCCACCATGTCTCTCCACCCCGGTGGGCACGCACCCCCACCCCCACTGGGTGAGCCCCAATCTGGAGGCCCAGCTCGTGAGCGCCCTCTGGAGGCAGCTTAACTCGGCTCCGGGTCAGGGGCTGGCGTCCCCCTCGGGGTCAGCACTCCTTGGCCTTACAGGGGACACGTGTACACACACACACACACACACACACACACACACACACACCTCGCCGACTGCCCCCTGACGGTGCTGAGACAGACTGCCTGGACCTGCGCCCACGCTCAGCCCGGGGCTCACAGGGAATCCCAGCGAACCTGGACGAGTTCTCAGCCCCGCACCTCAGAGCAGTGGCGCGGTGCCCAGGACCCACCCCACTGTCCCGGGGAGCCTGGGGCCAGCGAGGCCCCCGTCTGGGCTGCAGGGGCCCCCACGTTGCAACCCCACATCTGCCCCATGGGGGCACCCCCACCGTCCCCCCTGTGCCCAACACTGACGGGTGGGCAGCCAGGAAGAATCTTAGACCTGGAGGCAGCCCAACCCTGTCCCCCGTCCCCAGCTCAGCCCTGTGAGGCCTCCGCTCTGGCCTCTGACCAGCAGGAGCCAAGACGGCTGGCCGGGCTGACAGACGGGCTGGCCGAGCAGACTGGGGCGCACAGGCCGCCGTGTGCAGGACTGCCCTCGCCGCCTGCCTTCCCAAGCCCCTCCTCAGGTGGCAGAGAAGCTCTCCACGAGGACGTGAGCCGTCCTCCAAGTACTCCAGAGCCAGGCTTGCTGCGTTTTAAAGCTGAGCGTCGCAGGCGGGCCGACCCCGTCTTGCAGGTGGCTTGTCTCCCAGCTGCCCCCCTGGTCGCCCTGATGCCTGAAAGCACATGACCGCCCCAGCTCGGGGCTCCAGCAGAGAGGGCCACCCATGGCGGGCCCACTGGGCACTCACACTTGACCGTCAGACTGAAGCGCCTCAGCCTGCTCCCTCCTGTGGGCAGCGATGGTGGGCGAGGGCCTTGGGGCCCCCAGGCTGGCGCTGGAGAGAGCCCCGGGCCGGGCAGAGGAGCTGGATCAAACCTGCCCCACAGGGACATGTGGTTTGGGCCCAGTGCTGGCCCCAGTGTCGAGTGGGTGGCTCGTGCCACGGCTTCATTCAATATCCTCTCCTGTCCCTGTCTTGAAATCCTTGATCGGTTTCTAACAAGGAGCCCACGTGTCCGCTTTGCGCGGAGCCCTGCCCTTGATGACGTAGCTGGCACTGCTGGGGTTAAGTCCCTTGGCCACCTGAGTGTCCCCAGCTCCCCTGCAGGTGGGCCAGGTCCCTCCCCCCCGGGTCCCTCCCCCACTGGACGAGGAGGCGCAGGTGTCGGGTGGCCACCCCAGCCTGGGGAAACCCCTCAGAAGAACCCCAGTGCCTACAGCCACTGCTGCAGGGCCCTTGGTCACATCCCGGGACCCTCTGCACTCCAGGGCCACCGGGAGGGGAGCCTGGGGCCCGAGTGGTTATCTGCCTGTCGCTGGCACCTCCTACCTCTCTCTGCAGAAACTGGTCCTGGGAGCCCAGGAGCCCAGCCTTGGCAGGAGCGTCTCCCAGCCCCCAGCCCGGGAGGACCCTTGGAAGCAGGCACTGGGCTGTGAGCACAGGGAGCTGAGCCGTCTGGAGCCGTCGGGGGTGTCACAGCGCCCGCCCCCGGGAGCAAGAGGCGTCGCATTAATATTTGAAGGCGGAGGTGTCAGGTGGCCCAGCGGGCTTTGGGCTGGCATGGGATCCCTTACCACCAGGACTTCACCCTCCCCTGGACAGGGGCCAGGGGAGCAGACCCTCTGGAGAGGGAGGGGAGACCAAAGCTCCTTGGTTGTACAAAAGAGATGGCAGAGAGGGGTCCACCAGGGCAGCCCTCAGGCACAGCTGGGGAAACAGATTCGGGGAGGCAGGGTGCTTTCTCAGGGGTCCATGGCGGGGAATGGGACGGGACCAGAATCCTACTTGAGACCCCCGCCCCCTTGCTCCTGACCCTGGAGGAGCCCAAGGACTGAGCCCCTTGAGTCGCTGCCCCTTCGGTCCAGGACCACCAGCCGTGGAGGGAGAGGCAGGCAGGTGGGCCTCTAGGGGAAGCTTGGCACCGGTGGGGTCCCTGGTACCCCCGCCGAGGATGCCAAGCCCTGGCTGCTGTTCGCCTACCTGCCTTGGCACAGGGGACCCAGAAGGAAGACCAGGCTGCTCACGCTAGCTACAAATTAGGGGGCGCCCAGGCTAGGGGTTCTCGGCTGTGACACAAAGCTGTGTGTAGCAGCCATCCGCGCCCAGATCGGTCACCCCGGGATGAGGGGGGCGGATTCTGACAAAACACGACACCTGCTCCCTGCCGTGTGCCGCAGACCTGGGAATCTCCTGTCTTCCAGCGTCCACAACACAGGCATAGGTGGCTTAGGAGCCTGAAGGAGGGTCTAGTTAGACCCCAGACCCGATGGCTAGAGAACCGGGTGCTGACAGTCTGACGGACAGAGTGGAGCTGAGCCCCAGGCGCTAAGCCTGCCAGAACCTCCCCGGCTGCCCCCACCTGGAGGCCCTTGGGGCTCACCATACCCCCGCACCCCCAGCTGAATCTGGGGTGAGGTGAAAGGGCCTCCTACTCCCGGCAGAGCGCACGGCTCAGCTGGGGTGGAAGGAAGAAGGAAAAGGCAGGACATTGGTCCAGAGCCCAGGGGAATGGACCTTGGCCCCAGACCACCGCACCGCAGCCTGGGAGGCCGCATGCCATGGGTCCCTGAGGCCGAATTCTGCTCCAGCTCTCCCAGAGGAGAAGCCCCGGGGAGTTGCTCAGTGTCCCTGGGCCTGAGTCTCTCTGCCTTGGCTGGAACTTACCGGGAGCCCCTGGCAGGGCCTGGCGCACCGCGGCGCAGACCTCCTTGCTGCTGTTAGCACGGTGTCACGAGGATCTCTGAATTTTAACCAGTACGGGGGTCTGCTGTGGCGGCCGCCAGTGACAGCAGTATCCAGGCCCTGGACGAGTCTACGGGACCTGAGGGAGTGCTGCCGACCTCTGGGGTCCTGACAGCTGGGCATGTCCAAGGTTGGTGGTCAGCTGGCCTTGGGTTGGTGACCTTCCTGTGGTCTGGTGTCTCTTTTTCTGTGTTTCTGATGAGATTTGAGCAGTGCCACGCCCGCCATGCATTATACATGGAGGACCGCTGTGGCGAGCCGGGTTACAGGCCTGTAACGCCACCCGGGCCGAGAAAATCATGACCCACGGATGGGTGCTGGACACCCAGGCACCACGGCTGAGATTGGGTTACGGCTGCCCTTCCCCCGAGGAGAGCAGTCTGCCTCAGGGAGCCCCTTGCCCTCCCTGGATCTCAGTTTCCCCATCTGGACAGTGAAGGGTCTGAGGGCCCCTCTGGACCCAGGGGGGCGCAATTAGCCACTAAACCAGTTGCTCAAGGCACACCTCTAACCCCCAGCGAGGCTCCTTGGTTACGTCACACAGATGAGAAAACGGGGCTCACGGGTGCTCAGGACTTAGGGGTGTCGCTCGGCCAAGAAGGGTCGCTCCAACTCTGGTGGATGTGAGTACAGGGGTGGGGGAGCGGCGAGCTGAGAGGCTGGGCTCTCCCCTGCATGGAGGGCTGTGCTCAACCCCCTGGACAGCTGCTCCTAGCTGCAGCGGCCTGGCCCATGCCCTGGAGGTCTGGGGAGCAGGGGGCCCCCTCTAGCCACTGCCCAAGCCCTCCTCACTGTGCAGAGGTGACCCCAGGCCCAGGAAGGAGGAAGATGTGGCCAGGGTGGAGATGGGGTGGTCCAGGCGGCCAGGGGAGCACCTGCCCAGCCTCACCCCCCAGACTGCCTCTCCTGGGACCTACGACGCCCTGGGAGCGGAGGCAGGTGGCAGGATTGAGAGGAAAAGGCAGCCTTTCACCACCTCCTCTGAGCTTGACACGGGAAGAGGCTGCGCAGGCGACCTCTGGATATTGTGTTTCCATCAATATTGCATCGGGCCCCCGCCTCCCCGAGCCTGGCGGCCCCAGCTGACGGCCTGCCCTCCTGCGGGGCCGAGACTGAATGTGGGGGGTTGGGGGCGACTCCAGCTAGCCCTGGGTGCAGCGGCTCATGGGGACGAGCTCATAGTCTGATGACCCTGCCCCTCCGCCACACAGGCGGGGCAGGTGGATGGGCTGGACACTGTGGGCCTGCAGGCCGGGTGTGGAGGCTACACGGACCTCCCAGGCCGGCGTGGGGAATCCTGAGCAGAGGATCGCTGCCTCGTAGCCTGTGGTGACACCAGGGGAGGCCGCCAGCACCAGAAGGAACCCCAGGAAACCTGACGTGGGCTGGTCCCTCAGCCCCCAGTGGAGGGGTCAGCAGGGTGCCCACAGTCCCCACCCATAAGAGAGCCAGGCAGAGCGTCCAGGAGAGGTGGGCTGGTGTGCCAGGGCCTGGGGAGGCGGGGCTGGGCACAGAGGTCCTGATCGGACAGAAGGCCCGGCCGTGGGCACCGCTGCGTGGGCTGGGGGCGAGCCGGGGACCCCCGGACAGGGACCAGGAGGCACCTGCCCCTGCCAGCAGAAGGGCCGCCCAGCCCTGACCACAGCAGGCCCCAGGGCTCACACAGGCCGGGGACCAGGTGGCCAGGCCGTCCCCAACCTGCGGACTACAGAGCTCCGCCCACCACACCAGGAACCTGCAGAGGTCCCCCAACCTCTGGAACCAAGCCAGAAAGACAACTCTTGTCAAGCAATAGCCAATCAAAAGAAAGTCTGAAAGTCGCTCCGTCGTGTCTGACTCTTTGTGACCCCATGGACTATACAGTCCATGGGATTCTCCAGGCCAGAATACTGGAGTGGGTAGCCTTTCCCTTCTCCAGGGGATCTTCCCAACCCAGGGATTGAACCAGGGTCTCCTGCACTGCAGGCGGATTCTTTACCAACTGAGCTATCAGAGAAGCCCACAGCCAACTGAAGGATCAGTAAACAGTAAACAGGTTGCTTCAAGCAGTGACTGCAGCTCCTGTGTCTGAAACTAGGATACCGAGACAAACCAGGACTCCAGCACATGTGCCCTGAAGCACCCCCAGCCCCCAGTCTGGCCGCCCTGGCGTGGGTGTTGGGCGGTGGAGACAGGCTGTCTCGGTGGTGGCCAGGTGAGGACCATCCTGTTGGCCCAGGGCCGCGGAGGAAGGTGGCTCTGCCTCCGTTGTCCTGGACGCTCTGGGGGAGATGCCCCAAGGGAAACGGAGGTGCAGCAGCCCTGGGGTGGGACCCGGCGTGGGGGACACGGTGCCCCTGTGGGCCTCGGAGCTCTCACCTGAGGGGGCAGCCAGCCGGTCCCAGGGACACCTTCCAAAGGGGTGGCCAATACAGAAGACTGTGGCAAAATCTGTGCAGGTTGGGACGAGGCGTCAGTCGCCTGCTCCCTCACACCTGCACGCCCACGGCTCCATTCATTCAGCAGACACACGGCCAGGCACGGGCTGGGGGCCGGCACACAGGCTCCCTGCCCTTGCGGAGGGCAGGCTGGGTGAGGTTACGTGCCCAGCTGGGAGCCCACCTGAAACTGTCCCCTTCTGGGCTGCACAGGGCTGGCCCGCCTCCTGGGGTCACGCCCCCGAGAACCCGGGAGGGACCCCATTCCCACCCCCGAGTGTCCTTAGCCCAACCCAGCCGCCTGGCCTGAGTGTGAGCATGGGCTCTGTGGCCTGCAAGGCGGGCAGATCTCCGCGGAGCTCCAGCCGCAGCCCAGCCCTGGTCCCCCTTGTAGCCCTGAGGCCAGGCCCTCCCCTCCTCCCTCCCGACCACGGGGTGGCCGGGTGAGCTCCCCACAGCGGGGCCGGGAGGGAAGGGGCTGCGTGGCTCACCGGCCGGGTGCTGTCTCGCAGGTACTGGGCACAGTCGCGGTGGCCGTGGTACTCCGCCAGCTCCGCAGCCGTGTAGCCATCCTCGTCCCGCAGGGCGGGGTCCACGCGGTGGGACAGCAGGGTCTGGCAGCACTGCAGGGAGGGGGCAGATACATGTGAGCACCGCCAGCTCCCCGCACCCCCCCGAGCTGAGACACCGAGGCCTGAGCTCCCGCCCTGACCCGGGCCACCCTGAGCCAGCAGCATGCAGTCCCGCAGGCGCCAGCACCGCGAATCCGGCATGGGAGCCCCAGGCACCCTCACTGAGGGGCTCGCCGAGGGCCCAGACAGTAAGCAGGCGGCACAGTGGGATCCCAGCCAGGCTGCCCGACCCTGACTTTGCCCCTGTAGCCCAGGCCTCGGGTTTAAATACAGAGCCGGTTTCCATCTTTACAGCACATCCTGGAGGGGTGTCCATTCTCACACAAAGAAACTGGGGTGCAGAGGCTAAAGAAGACGGCTCCGCCCCCGGGTCTCCGGGCTGTGCCCTCGCCCACCTCGCCCACCTCGCCCTGCCTGCTCTCTGGCCTCCCGGCCAGGCCTGGCGCTCAACGAGCCCCTCCTCTTGGCTCCAGGCCCGGGGTGAGCTCCAGGGGTCCTCACTCCATCCCCGATGTCTCCATCTCTGAGCGTCCGGCTCCTGCTCTGGCCTCACACGCCCCCTCCCCTGGTCAAGCCGGCACTGGGCCCCCAGTTTCCCTCCCAGCTGGACCCCCGGAACCAGGAGGAGAGGAAGGCGGAGGCTCAGCAGCGGGGAGCAGAGGAGGCTGGAGCGTGGAAAGTGAGAGGCGCCCGGGCGCACGAAGGCCTTTTGTGACAGAGGCTGCGGTGGGGAGGGGGGTGTGGGAGCGGGTCGTCTATCTAGAGCCTGGGGGGCAGGGGTCACAAGAGAGGCAGAGTGGAGCAGGGGCACTGGGTGTGGGGCCTGAGCCCAGACGGGTCTCGGGCAGCGGCCCTGGGGATGGGGAGAGGAGGACTTCACCACAGTGACAGCGACCAGAGCGGGCGCCTGTGAGCAGGGGCGGGAAGATGGATGTGGACTCGAGCCGGATGGTCTGTGCCAGTGCCTCTGCTTTTCTACAACTCTGAAACGATTCTAAATTCTTCTAAGATAAGAATCTATTTTAAAATACGGAGTGGGCATTATCAGAGAAATGCAAATCAAAGCCACAATGAGGTACCATCCCACGCCGGTCAGAATGGCTGCTATCCAAAAGTCTACAAGCAATAATGCTGGAGAGGGTGTGGAGAAAAGGGAACCCTCTCACACTGTTGGTGGGAGTGCAAACTAGTACGGCCACCATGGAGAACGTGTGGAGATTCCTTAAAAAACCGGAAATAGAAGTGCCATACGACCCAGCAATCCTACCGCTGGGCATACACACCGAGGAAACCAGAATAAAAAGAGACACGTGCACCCCAATGTTCATCACAGCACTGTTTACAATAGCCAGGACATGGAAGCAACCTAGATGTCCATTGGTGGATGAATGGATAAGAAAGCTGTGGTACATATACACAATGGAATATTACTCAACTGTTAAAAAGAACGCATTTGAATCATTTCTAACAAGGTGGATGAAACTGGAGCCTATAATACAAAGTAAAGTAAGTCAGAAAGAAAAACACCAATACAGGATATTAACGCATATATATGGAATTTAGAAAGATGGCAACGATGACCCTATATGTGAGACAGCAAAAGAGACACAGATGTAAAGAACCGACTGTTGGACTCTGTGGGAGAAGGCGAGGGTGGGATGATTTGAGAGAATAGCATTGAATTATGTATATTGCCGTATGTGAAATAGATCGCCAGCCCAGGTTCGATGCCTGAGACAGGGTGCTCGGGGCTGGGGCACTGGGATGGCCCTGAGGGATGGGATGGGGAGGGAGGTGGGAGGGGGGTTCAGGATGGGGACACATGTCCAACCATGGCTGATTCATGTCAATGTATGTCAAACACCACTACAATATTGTAATTAGCCTCCAATTAAAATAAATTAATTTACAAAAAAATAAAATAAAATACAGAGTAGGGTGGGGGAATCATATTTCCTGGATGATCATAACTTTCCAGAACTGTTAACAAAGACCCTACAGGCGATCAGTAATGTGTGGACTCTGCTTCCGTGCTGGTCACAGCACAACCAGAGACATGGATTTGAGTCGGATATTAGGCTGGATCGTAGATGGCGTGGAGAAATTATCGTGGGGCTTCCCTGGTGGTCCGGTGGTTACAGACCCACCTGCCAAGGCAGGGGGGACGTGGGTTCAATGCCTGGTCCGGGAAGACCCTTCATGTCGCAGGACAACTAAGCCTATGTGCCGCAAGTACTGAGCCCGTGTGCTGCCAGTCCTGAAGCCTGCAAGCGCTAGAGCCCGGGCCCGCAGCAGGGAAGCCACCGCGATGACGATAAGTCCCTGCACCCCAGCGGGGACCCGCTCCCACTCGCCACAAGCAGAGGAAGCCGGAGGGGTGGGGGGCCACAAGGAAGACCCAGTACGGCCAAGGGAAGAGGGATTTCCACAACAGAGACGGAAACGGAGGGCGGTTCTCAGCTCTGAGGCTTGAGTTCCTTTCCTTTCCCACCGGGGAGGAGGGTGAGGAGCTCATGAACCCTTGGCTTATCTGCTGAACCCCCTGGATGCCTATAGAATACTTCACTTGAAAACAGATATTGCTGCTTCAAAATAAAGGTGGCAGGGCGCTGCTCAGGCCACCCTCGGGTTGTGGAGGCAGTGGCCGGTTGGGGGGCGGGATGCTGTCTGAGCCGCACTGCGCTGGCTCAGGGCCCTTCCGGCCACCCGCGGCCTCCCAGCCCAGGCCCCTCTGGACGCCACCCACACATCATCTGCTTGGTGAGCCCATGGGGCTAAGTGCTGGCCTGCAGGGTGAGAGGAGGGGGTGTGGCTAGGGGGTGGGGGGAGCAGGAGGGGCCCTCAGGGCTCCCGAAAGTCAGGAAGAAGTGTTCGGCCTTGCTGCTGGGCATGGGGCCACCATGCCTCTCTCTGACTCGTCAAAAGGGCAGCCTGCCTTCCCGGGACTCTGGCTGGCTGCCCTGGGCTGCTCGTGGGCCACCTGGGCCCAGGAACACTTGGGGTTCCAGCTAGAAACTGCTGTCCAGAACCGAAGTCCAAAATGGGATAGCGGGCTGCACCTCGATAAAACACCCGCCCTAGACTAGCCTCTCTGGGGCCCGTGGGCCCGTGGGAAGGCCACGGGCAGGCCCGGGAGACGTCGCAGATGCACTGACCCACTTTGGAGCCCTGCTGGGTGGTTCCGGGGAGGGCGGGCAGAGGAGTCATCCCACGTGTTCCCTTCAGACGCACTCTGCTCAGACACGGCCTTGCCTTCGCAGGAGGTCCGCGAGCAGGTCGCGCCAGTGCAGGGGCCAGCGGCTCACGGCCGGGTCCACTCCCAGGCCTGGACTTCAAGTATTGGAACACCGACCGATACTTGAAGGAACACCTGCCTACTCCAGGTTCCCAGATGCTGTTTCCTGGGCCACGTGCGCCCCTAGGTTTATCTGGATCACAGCGAAGGAGCTGACCTCACACCCCCGCGGGGCTCTGCTCCCAGGCTGCTCAGAGCAGGGGGCCAGCAGACCCCCTCCTGGGAGGACTGGCAGGAAGACCGAACCCCTGAGCTGGGCTTCATTCCCAGAGAGATCTGAGTCTGAGTCTGCATCCTGGGCAATGGCTGCCCTGCTGAGGCTCGGTTTACCTGTCTGTAAAAGGGGATAATAAGATGTATGCTACAGGGTTGTGTTGAGGGTTCGGTGACTCAGTCACAGGAAGCGGTCCAGGACTGCCAGCTCTTGGAGGCTCCTCTGCCCGCCCCGTGACCCCCACCGCCTTACCTCCATCTGCCCATTCTCCGCTGCATCGTGGAGGGGCGTCCCCCCCCAGGAGTCTCTCATGATGGGGGCGCCCATCAACAAGAGCCGGTCCAGAATGGGCGTGTGGCCACCCCGAGCGGCGAAGTGCAGGACGGTGGCCCCCTCGTCATCCCGAGCTGTCAGGCCGATGTCCGTGAAGGTGACCTGTGGGTGGAGGAAGGGGGACAGGCCAGCTGATGCCAGACAGGGGCAGCCACTCCCCCCTGGGGAAGCGGGCCCTGGGGACATGGCTGGCTCCTCTTGTGCGCCCCGGGCAGCCTGGGGGAGCAGCAAGCTTGGTGGTTTTACTGCGAGATTCCCCAGCCCAGATCTTAAGCCGAGCACCCCCAGGGGCATTCCCACTTCAAATAAAGAACGCCTCTGGGCAGCACCCCAGGGCCAGTAAACAGGTGTTTGCTGATGAAGGGAGGGACCTCCTGGCACCAGGCCTGTTTGCATCCTGACTGTCACAGCTCCAGTGCCAAGGCCTGCTGGGGGCAGGCCCCGTGCAGCCGTCCTCAGCACGCTGGACGCGAGCCCGGTCATCCTGTGGCCTGGGCCCCGCACTGGCAGCCTTCCGGCCAGCCCTCCTCACAGCCCTCGTCGGCCCCCAGCCTGGACCACGTGCCCCCAGGGCAGCCACGTGACCCCTGCCAACGCAGTGCCGGAAGGGGCTTTTCTGCCTTCCCGACGGAAGGGCTGGTGGACATGGCGTCACCCCCTTTTTCTCCGTCTTCCTACTTTGAACGTGGCCGACCTTCTCCATGAAGGCGAGGCCAGGAGAACAGCAAGGATGTGACCGGGTGTGAATGGCCTGCTGTGTTTCCTATGTGGAAGGGATAACTTTTCAGTGGTTTAGTTCCCCGGTCACTGCAGCCAAATGCTGGCTGATCCAACATTCAAATGCGTCTGTTAGAAAAGGGACAGTGAGCTGGGAGGAGAGCGCCTGCCATCAGCCAGCTACCCCAGGGGAGCGTGGCCCCATCCCTGAGAGGGTCAGCCAGGCTGGACTCCGCCCCTCTGCCCAGGGTCCACCCTGCAGGAGGCTGGGGTGGGGAGGCCCCTCTGGAAGAGCCTTTCTGGCCCTGGGACGCTCGGCCACAGCTGCTTCTTCCTGGGATGAGCCCCCGTGGGGCTGCCCAGGGGGCTGGGTGGACGTTCTTCGCTTCTGCCTACCCTCCCGCTGCTCTCGGGCATTCCCATTGCTCTGAGACGCCGCGCGTCCCGCCGACTCACTCCCACCATGTGTGCTGAGCGCCCGCTGCCCTTGTGCCCCCGCGGCCAGACCCGGCCAGGACTCAGGCTCCCACAGCGCTGGGAGTCCAGGTCTGGGGACAGGCACGTTTCTCTCGTTCACCATCTGAAATACAGGCCAGAGGACGGAAGCACAGCTCCACATGAGGGCCAGGGCGGGGCCCACGCCGGCAGATTTCTCCTACAAGCGGGGCTGGCCCCGTAGGAGCAGCTGTAGAAGGGCGGCCAGTGGGGGCATGGCCAGTGCAAAGGTGGGTGCCGGCGGGTGCTCCAGGGGTAAAGGGCCAGCCTGGGAGAGGCGGTGGTGAAGGGAGGCTGGAGGCAACTGCTGCGGGCTTCTGAGGCCAAGGTGAGTGGCTGGAGGCCAGAAGAAGTCGCTCCTTCCTCCTTCCCTCACTCAGCATCCCCACAGCTCTTACCATGTGCCAGGCACAAGAAGGGGAGCAGCAGGACTGAGTCCCTCCCCAGCCACCTCTTGCCCACCTGCTCCTCCCCGGAGAGACCTCCCCACTCTGACCCCTGACCGGGTAATGAACACCCACTCTGTAACCCTCAGAGTGCCCGGACACCCCACAGGCCTGGTTTTCCAGGGCGGAGGCAGAAGTCCCCAGCCCTGGAAAAAGCCTTGGAAGAAGGCATCCTCCCCCCATCTAGGTCACTGTGTGTTTCTTCTGGGAAGAGGCCCAGATGATGCCTCCGTGGTTCAGAAGGGAAGAAGGGCGGGGCTCGTGGGGCCCGCCCCAGGGCCTGGGTAGCAGGGCATGGACAAGTGGGCAAACAGCGGGGCCAGGCACTGCCTGTGCAACCCATCCTGGGAACCGGGACACCCACCAGGACTCCTAGGGGAGGGGTCGGGAGAGCCCACAAGGGGTGCTGCACACCCCCACGGTCCTGCAGGGGCGGGTCCAGTCCAGGGCCATCCCCAGTCAAAGCCCCCCCTGCGCCCGAGACTGGCCCTGGCATGTGGGTGCTCTAAGGCTGGGGGAAGCACTTCTAATCCGCCCACCACCCCGTGGTCCGTGAACTTCCTGTGGCCGATCGGAGACCCAGGGGGTGGCGCCTCGGCCCCAGCTGGCCCCGCTTGTTAGGCAGGAGCAGGTGCCAGCTTCCGCGGACGCCCCCCCACGCCCCGCGCGCGCACCCCGGAGCCCCCTTACCAGCCAGACGACGAGCGAGTAGTGGCCGCCGGCGGCGGCGGCGTGCAGCGCGCTCATGCCGTCGAGGGCGCGCAGGTGCACGTCGGCGCCGCAGTCCTTCACCAGGAACTGCGCCAGATGCAGGTGGCCCTCCTGGCAGGCCAGGTAGAGCGGGGAGGCGCCGCTGCGCGTCCGCCGGTTCACGCCGCTGCGGGGGAGGCGGGGCTTCAGAGCGCGCTCGGCCGGGGGTCTCGGGGAGCCGCTCTGGCCTAGGGCCCAGATCGGGCGCGGAGGCCCGGCACCTGGCTCTTTGCGGCCACCCCCTTACCCGCTGAGGGGCCTAGACGGCCGTGGTCCAGGTTGCGCGCGGCCCAAGGAATCCAGCTCCCCCAACTCGCCGTCAAGCTGTGAGCGCCGCAGGGGGTTGGCCGGCAGGGGTCTCCTCTTAGGGTGAATGGCCCAGCGGGGCCCGCCGTGGGCAGCTCAGGGAACCTCTGGACCCGGGGCCTGCTCCGTGCAGGGGGCCCTTGTGAGCAGGACACTAGCCTTTCGGGGCGCTCGGCCTGGCACCGGTATTCCAGGTCCCCGTGTGGACCGAATGGGCAGGGTCATCAGGTTTCCGCATCCAGCCTTGCCTCCATGTGGTCGCGGGGCCAGGTGAGTTCTTGGTGCCCTGCGAGCCGCTGCAGGGAGCGGCAGCCCCCTCCCCAAACCTGCCCGCACGCCCTGTTGACAAAGACTTCCGCTCGGGCTCCTGCGGTCTCTGCCGGTGGGCATGTGGGCCCTGGGGCAGCGGACCATCCCCGTGCATGTGGGTGTTTTAATGTGAAATCTCCCGGTTTTCAAATGACAGAAAGTACTTCTAAAACTGCCAGTCTGACAGACACTCTGCGGGCGGCCAGGCCCGGGGCAGCCGGTGTGGACTCTTTGGGGAAGACGCGCAGAAGCGAGTCTCAAAGGCCTTGGGGGAGAGGTCGGGACGGGAAGGCCCAGGAACAGCAGCATTGTCACGGGGTGACTAGGACGGCCGGCCAGCTAACAATAGCCCCGCAGGAGAAGAGGTGTGGTCAGAGGCAGACGCTCGGGGGAGAAAGGCCAGGTCGGGTGAGGGGTGGACAGAGTCCCGCTCCCAGCCAGGACAGCCGTCCTGCGGACAGACGGTGCGGGCGGCAGGCCACAGACGCCGCACCCCCTAACGGCCAGGTATACGCCCGGGTGTCTTCTGTGGGGCCAGGACCGCAGCCGTGCCCACGACGGGGAAGGGGCGGTGGTCTGCTGCCCCCCGCCCCCGCCTTAGCTGAGCCGGTCCCCTNCCCAGCGCGAGGGTGCGGAGGGGTCTCCTGGACTGAGCCAGGCTACCGGCTTGGGGTCACCGGCAGGGCCGGGACCAGTCAGGCCTTTGGGTCCAAACCCCTGATCCTGCACATGCGAGCCCCCTCCAGGCTGCAGTCCTGCCCTTCCCGCTCTCTGCTCGCCATCGGGGAGGCTCCATTAGCCCAACCTGCTCGCCTAGGGTGGGCAGCCTGCCCCGTGTCCAAGGGTGATCCAGGGGCCTCTGCCCGGCCCTCACTGAGCACCCACCCCGCGCCCTGAGTCCTCTTGCTGGGGAGCTTCTCCCCCGCGGGCATCCGCACACCTGGGCGTTCTCCCAGGCTCTGGACCAGCCCCCGCTCCCGCCCTCGGGGCTGTGGGAAGAGCCGCTGAGGATGGCGGGGCTGTGGCTGTTGGACACTCAGGCTGTGTGACGCGTGGGTCTTCCCTCTCCTGGGACCCAGCGCCTCACACAGACGCCCACCCAGCTCTGGGCTCCGGGAGGGAGTCCTCTCTCCATCAGAGCTGGCTCGCACTGGGCCGGCAGGGAGAGGCGGGCAGGCGGGCAGGAGAAATGTCCGCAGGGAGACCATCACTGAGCCCCGGAGCCCCCACTGGGGTCCCTGAGCACCCGGGGTGGGCCAGCATCTCCTGAGCCCCAGTGCCTGCTGGGGTTGCTTGCCCAGACCCTTTTCTAGACCCTTTGGGAGCAGGCCCCGTGGATCAGGCCTGATAAGAAGGAGACCCCAGGAGACCCCACACTGGCAAGGCCGGGTGCTCTTGAGGGGGGGCCATGGGGTGAAAGGGCGAGAGGGGCCGCTCTGTGCTGGGCGCTGGGGAGTACCAAGTGGCTCAGGAGGTGTCTATGGCTTCCGAGGGCCTTTTTTGGGGCTGGGGAGAGGCGTGGGGTGGAGACACGCCGCTGTGTGTGCCATGGGAGTCGTGTGGCCATTCGCCCGAGAGCAGCGGCCCAGGGCCCTGGGGAAGCCTGGGGCTCCAGACCCGGCTCTCGCTCACGCCTCCCCATGGACGCGGGCCCCGCTCACCTGCAGACCGCAGCCGCCGTGGCGCACCAGCCAGCACAGCTCGGCCAGGCCGCCGGTGGCCGCGGCGTCGTGCGCGGGGGTGGCCCCGTTGTGGGCACGCTGGTTGCCGGGCAGCTTGGCCCGCTGCACCAGGAACCTGACGCAGGCCAGGTGGCCTGCCCGGGCGGCGTGGTGCACCAGGCCGGCCCCCAGGGCGTCAGTGACGCGCGGGCCCAGGGCGCCTGCCTCCAGCAGCTGCTCCAGGGTGGCCAGGTCCCCGTCCTTGGCGGCCGCGAGCACCCGCTGCTCCTCCATCCTCCGCCCCGGCCGCCCGGCCGGCTCTCTGAGGCTCATGCGGGCCCGGGGTTCCTGTTTCAGGTGGGGACGCAGCTCGCAGCTCCGGTTACCCGATAAGCGCGCACAGGGCAGATGGGAAGCGGCGGGGGTGGTGGTGGGGAACAGGCCTTGGGGACCGGGCTTTGCAGCCCTGCCGCAGCCGCTCCCGGGGCACCCAAAGCAGGGGAAGCTCCCGCATCATGTTCGGGTAGGAGGTGGGCACTGTACTGTGGCTGGACCATGCCTCCCCTCACGTGGCTCGAGGGCTGGGACAGACTTCCCACATCGAGTGGGTATTCACAGTTAGTGTCCTTTCTAGGAAGTGGTCGGCTCCCGAGAGTCTGCTTCCTCTGGGCCGGGGACAGCCTCCGAGGGCTGTGCAGAGGCCTCCTGGGAGACAGACCCTTCCCCCAGGAGGGCAGATGCGTCCAAGGGAAGCCCTTTCTGGGCATCTTACACCAGGTGCTAGAGTCTAAGCGTTTGAGCCCTGTCACCCACAGGTACCTGGGCCTGCTACCCCCTGGGCACGCTCTCCTGGAGCCTGGCCTCGGCTAGCACTGGGGCTCCTGCGCCTCTGGGTGGCAGTGGCTCTGCAGACCAGTGATGGGCCCAGGGTCTGGCCCTGGACAGGAAGGCCTCTGAGAGGAGGCTGAGGGCCTCAGGTGCCCTCCCCAGCCCACCCTCCAACCACAGGGGCCAGAGTTCATGGGCCCAAGCCCATCTTTCAGAGCTGCCCAGCATCTTTTCCCAGGCCGTTATCTGCAGTGGGGCTGGACACCCACAGTGCGTGCTGGTGAGCTCGGGGCGCCCTGGCCTCCGCCTAGAGCCCGCTGGATGCTCACTAGTGTCAGGGAGCTGCCTTGTGGGGCTCCCGCAGACATGATCTCAAGCTGAAGTCCTGGAGATAATGTGGGATTATTCAGTGACCGGTGGGTCTGACCCCACCCCGCAGCCGGCACAGACACCTGCTGCTCCCAACAAAGCGAAAACTAGAAAAACCACAAAGTGTCCAAAACAAGCATCGGCATCTTTTATTAGTTCATCTCATTTCTGACAGTTGTATTCTCAATGTCATTATGAAGTTCTCTGCTCCTTTCAATCACACATTAAATGTGTTGTTCAATTAAAAAAAATCACTCCTATGTAAATGTCTCCACAGATAACATTTGGCATGAATCAGACACCCCAGAGCATCTGTGGAGATCCGAGAACCCTCCCGAACACACCTGGGGGGGGAAGGCGTGAGGGATGGAGGCTCGCCTGTCCGGGGATGACTCAGATTCACAGGGCGCCTGTGGCTGATGGAGGAGCCGAAACCCTAAGCGGGTGATCAGAGGGAAGGGGCGGCAGGGACCGGGGGGCCGGTGGGGAGGCGCCCAGTGGCTGACGGCCAAGGGACCGGCAGGTGACCAGTGGAATGGGCAGGGCGGGAAGTGCGGGGTGCCCCACGGGGAGGGGGCCTGACCGCAGCAGCCAGCCCCCGCCTCTGGAAAGGCCTTGAGGAGGGTCTGGGGGTGAGGCGACACTGCCCTCTCTGCAGACAAGTGCGGGGAGGCCAGGACAGCCCCTGAAAATCACGCTTCCTATGTTCATGGTAGCAGCTGGTGATAAATGCTAGGATTTTATCTTTCGGATAAAAATGCCACCTTCCAGGAAGGGGGTGTCCGTGACAAGCTCGCCCTTCCTCCCAGAGAGCAGGGAGGCGGCCACGGCACTCCCCCTTCCCTGGGTGCTGTGGGGCGGCGGTGTCGGCACAAGGAGGAGCTCCCACGGGCACTAGGCCTGGCCCTCTAGCCGGGCCACTGCCTGCTTCAGGTCCTGCACGACGAGGTCCACCTCGGCCCGGGTGCTGCTGCGGCCCACGCTCAGCCGGATGGCGTTCCTGGCCACGTCGAAGGGGATGCCGCAGCTCAGCAGCACGGGGGACGGCCTGCGGGTGGGAGGCGGTCAGCCTCGCTGCCAGCAGGGGGCCCCCTGCTCTGCAGCCGCAGACCCCACCCTGGAGGCAGCCACGGGCCCCCTCCCCGGGAGAGGCCTCCGTCCCTGCAGCGTTTCACGGGCTCGGGTCTCAGCAGGGCCGCCTGGCCGCCGCGGAGGCTGGGGGCTGGCCTGATGCACCGTGGGAGGCTGCGGCCCCTGGTCAGAGCTGTGTGGTCTCTCGTGGCCCCGGCGCCCGGCCTCCCTCCACTGAGGGCCCCTGCTCGTCAGGACCCCAGCCCTGCTCTCTCCAGAGCCCAGGCCGCCTCGTCCGGCTGCTCTCCCACCTGCAGGCCCCCACCCAAGAAAGCAGACCCCTTCTCTCCTCCTGCTCGGCTGCTTCCAGAGCCTGAGCCCCCACACCAGCCCGCCCCCTCTGCCGCCCCCGCCTCAGCCTGCTCCTGGCGGGGGGAGAGATCTGAACTCAAATCTGCTCCCAGTTGTCTTGAGGCTTAAGTGGGTGCCTGCCGCCGACCCTGTGCCCCATACTGAGATGCTGCCCCATCTCCCGGGCCAGCCCCAGCACCCCCAGGCTGCAGCTCCCCCCTCCCCGCCCGCCTCCCAAGCGCCCACCGCAGAGCTCCCCGGCGCCTGGAGCAGGGACGCGCCCCAGATACCGCGGCCATATCCATGCAGAGCACTCACCGGTCCCCGAGGTCCGAGTGGCAGGCGGCCCCCACGCTGGCCAGCAGCGTCCGGCACTGCGCCAGCACCGCGCGGCCTGAGGAGAGAGAGCGCGGGTCCCTGAGGGCAGGCCAGGTGGCGGCCGCCTCTCATCCCGGCTGCCAGTTTGGAGGCCCCTCCCTGGTGCCACCTGGCAAATCCCAGGGCAGAGGCCCCTCTGACCGCAGGTGGGAGACCCCACGGGACCCAGGGGACGTGCTTCCTCCTGCCTCCTTCTGCCTCCTGAAACCAGCCTCGAGGACGCGGTACCCTGACAGGCTAGCATCCCGACGAGCTGCCTACTGAGTGCCGTGTTGTCCTGGTAAGAATGTCCGTCCTGACGTCTCTGTGTGTTATTGGTGGAGACTCCGGGAGCTGCCTTTGTTAAGGCTTTGTTGAGCCTTCTTCCTCAAGCACGGAGATTTAAAAAAAAACACACTGATGGAATTTCCCAGCGGTCCAGTGGCTAGAACTCCACGCTTTCACTGCCAGGGCCCAGGTTCGATCCCTGATTGGGGAACTAAGGTCTCACAAGCTGCATGGTGTGGCCAAAAGAAAAACACACCGGTGCAAGCTGATTTACTTAGAACGAGGAGCCTGTCTCGTTTAAATTAACACAGGCCCTCAGGGAATATAAAGTCTGCCCCAGAAAAGGGGGAAAGGTACTTGAGGAACTCCCCTCCCACAGCCTCCTTCCCAGAGAGAATGCGTTCAGTCCAGTGACGGCCGCCCCAGGGCCCCTTCATGGTCCGAACATGCTGCCTCGTTCCCCAGAGTGACCCAGGAGACCCTCGAGGCGATGAGCTAGTCTAAGAAGTGAAAACCACTCCGTGCTCTCTGGTCACCAGAACCCCTCCCAAACAAACAGGATGCTCTGCCCTGGACAGCAGCCTCAGGGACTTGGGCATCTGGGGGATGCATCATCCGAACCTGAACCTGTGCCCCAGGGTTTCCGGCCTGGTCTGCAGCGACGGCAGCAACAGAGAAAGCCCGCATACCTGCACTTCAGCCTCCCTCCCAGCCGGGGTTTAGGAGCTCGCCTTTCCTTCCCCCACCCTCACACAGCGTTCTGTAAAAGTTGTGGACAAAGCTGGGCCCAGTGACCTAATCTTTCGCTCATCTGACCTTCCCTTCCACCTCTGGGGCGGGCCCCTATGCGTGCTGAGCGCCTCTGCGTCTGCGGTCTCAGCACCCTGAGCCGGTCAGCAGCTGTGGTCAGAGCCCCTCGGACTGCACCCGGTGGGGTGAACCTGCCCCCAGCCCCCGACCAGCCCCCCGATGGCCCGAGCCGGGCCTGGCGCGGCCCAGCCTGCTCCCTCCTCACCTTGGAGCTGGGGTCCCCGGATGGAGAAGTTACAGGTGTTGGGGAGCCGCTCGGTGCCTGGAAACTGGCTGTTCAGATGCATTCTCTTACCAAATTCAGCCTGAAAAATGTACAGAGTATGTTGTGTCTTTGAAGCCCCTCTCTTCACAACTGTTTGAACTTCAGACTTTCTGGAAAACAAAGCCTCACCCTCAACACAGAATGATTGTTTTTTCTTGTTGTTTAGTAGCTAAGTCCTCTCCAATTCTGTGTGACCCCATGGACTGTAGCCCGCCAGGCTCCTCTGTCCCTGGGACTCTCCAGGCAAGGATACTGGAGTGGGTTGCTATGTCCTTCTCCAGGGGATCTTCCTGACCCAGGGATGGAACCCACGTCTCCTGCACTGGCAGGCGGGTTCTTTATCATGGAGCCCCAGGGAAGCCCCACAGAATTATTTTTTATCTGTAAGTATCTCCTTATAATACTCAGGGAGACTGAGTGCGGAAGGCAAGGTAAATTGGAAGAGAAAGATTCTGAGGACACTTGGATCTTCTTCACAGGAGCATCAAGTGTCTCGTCCCTGGTATGTTTCGGTTGCGCATCCATGACCCCCGGGGGTCTGGGCCCGGCCTGTCGGGGCTCCGGGCACGGGCACTCACCACCAGCCTCTCCTCCAGGTAGTCGCGCACACCCTGCATGTGGGCCTCATAGGCCTCGCAGTTCTCTGCCACCAGCTCGGCCGCCTGCGGACACAGGAGGGCGCAGGGTGACGAACCCCAGTTATGGCAAGATGGGGTGGGGGGGGTGCAGACAGCAGCGGAGGTGCTGTTTCCTGAGGGCAGAGGCGACGTCGCCTCTGACTGCTGCTTCCCTGGGACCTCACAGACACAAGCCGCGTGCCGACTGCCTGCCTTTTGCTTGTTGGCTGGTATCTGACAGCTGTCAGGCTTCCTGATGCCCTGGGCACTGTGGAGTCCCCAGTCGGTGACCGGAGGCTCTCCCGGCCCACTCTAGAGACAGAAGGACAGGATGGAGGAAGAGGCGGCCGTGTCTGACCTCCCGTGGGCGCTGTGAAGAGAGCGTGGAGCCTGGGGAAGGGCATCTGGGCGGAGCCCTGAGGAGGGAAGGGTGAGTGCTCCTGGAATCGCGTAAGCGAGAGCACGGTTCCCGGAGGCCTTGCGACGGCGGGCTCTGAGCCGAAACCTGGATGCTGAAGCTGGGTCTGAGCCGCCCGATCTGTGTGTTCACAGCTGGGTGCCGTGTGGAGCATGCACGAGGCGTCCACACAAAAGGTGGGGGTGACCCGGCCTAGGCTCGGTGGAGGTGGACAAGGGGCAGGCCTTCATCCGTGGCGGAGGCTGGACGGACCGGGCCAGCTGCCGCGTCAGGTGCAGGGGGCGAGGACAGGGAGGACCAAGGGCCCCTCCTGGGTTTCTCAGCGAGAGCCCAGGTGACAAGGGGCACCCCAGGGAGAGAGACCAGGACACAGCGTGGGCTGAGGAAGCAGGTGGGGACTTGGGTCTCCCCGGAGGTCAGGGTCTGCCCTGCGATGGCAGGTGGAAGACCAGAGCCCAGGCTGACGTCAGAGCCCCCGGGGGGTGAGCACCTCGCTGGGAGAGGAGGCTGGCCGGAGAGGAAGCAGAGAATGAGCCCGGCTGGGGCGGGGGTGGAGAACTGGCCCCACGTTCTCTGAAGTCACAAGGCAAATGGGGACCTTCTCTGAGGCTTCAGGGGAGCAGAGCAAGCAGCAGACCTCAGGAGGAGGGGCGGGTGGGTGCGTGCAGGTCACTCCACGGGGGGTGGAGGACACCAGAAGAGGAACAAGAGGATGTGGGGGGGTGGGAAGGGGGCGACAGCAGGAGGGGCCTGCCTTCAGCCACATAGGGAAGGGGCGGAGAGCAGCCGGGAAACCTGGACTTGGCCTCAGTGGGTGAGGACACACACACCTCCCGGGGAAGGTGAGCAGTGTGGGGGGCGGGGGTCCTGGCCGGAGTGCACCGAGGGGGTCCAGGCTGAGTGAGGGGTGATGATGGTGGGCCCCCCGCCCCGAATGAAAGCAGGGTCAGAGGGGCCATGGCTGCTGCTGGGCTGCCGTCTGGTCCTCTTGAAACCCACTCCACAGATCCTAAAAAGCATGTCTCCAGGTTGATAAATAAAATTCGAAGTTTCTCTTATTAATACACTGGTCCGCTTATTGGGGTCATGAACGTGACCTCCTCTGAAGCCCGGGCCGCCTACTGGAGCGGCTGGGAAACTGCTGTGAGCCCACAGAACACGCCCAGTGGTCTGCCCTGGCCCTGCAGAGACGGAGACCCGGGAGTTTCCCGAGTTGTCACGGCATGACGGAGCCGCCGTTATTCTAATTGTTGGCCTTGGACTCTGGTTCCCGATGCTGAGCTCCCAAGTCCCTTGGGGTTTCCTGGATGACAGGAGTGCTTCCTGCTCTAATGAGGTGACTCTGGGTGGGCTTCTAGGTGGGGGCTGGTCACAGAACCGGGATTAGAAGCGTGGGGTTTTCAGTGCCCTGGCCCCACCTCCAGAGAGGGGAGCGGGGCTGGAAACGAAGTTAATGATTGAGCAAAGCCTCCGTAAAACCCTGGGAGGATGATGGCTTCAGAGAACTTCCAGGTTGCTGAACACAGAGGTGCTGGGACGGGGGCGCTGGCGAGGGCATGGACGCCCCTTCCCACATCCTGCCCTTCAGGGTGTCCATCTGCGTCCTTTATCACACCCTTTCATGGTAAACTGTTTATTGGGGTCAGCGGTCTAGTTCCTCTGAGTTCTGTGAGCTGCTCTAGCAGATCACTGAACTCAAGGAGTGGGTCGAGGGAACCTCTGATTCACAGCCAGTGGTCGCAAGCACAGGTGACAGCGGGCATCTGAGATTGTTGGGGGTGGGGGGTCTTGTGGGACCGAGCCCTCATCCTGAGGATGGATAGTGTCAGGATGGGCTGAATTGCAGGACCCCTGGCTGGTGCCACAGGTGCGCTGGGTGGGGACCCCGCCCCCGCACATGGGGTGAGAGTGATGAAGAAACGCAGGAGGAAGACTTAGGTTCCCTTGCATGCTGATGGACAAAGCGAGCTTCATCCATCCAAGGTCCCCAGGGCTTACCTTCCCAAGGCCAGCAATCATCGGGGTGTTCTCTGTCCTGTAAAAGACAAGGGATTCAGTCCCGTTTCCATGCAAAGTAATTAACCAACATTCCTGGAAGAAATCCCAGCCATATGAAAGTCAGGTGTTCAATTAAAGACAGTCAGGCCAACATCTTTCCTAAACGAGGGCAGCTGTCAGCGGCCCCCAGACCCTCTGTGGTTGTGGCCCGGGGAGAGCAGATGTGGTATACTCTGGGCAGTCTGCCCTGGCTGTCACTGGCTGGCCAAGTGATAGTTCTGTCTGGATCCTTCCCCTCCCTGCAAGAACACCCCCTCCGGCTGCAGGCCCAGAGCCCGTCTCTTCGGTCCCCCTGCCAAACCCCGCCAAGGTCCAGGGGCTCAGTCCCTGCCCCGCTCCCTGCAGCCTCTCAGCTGTAATATGGGGTGAATCTTTGGTGACTAGAGATTTGGGGTGTTGTGTGTGTGTGTGTGTGCGTGCATGTGTGTGGCTGTGCAAGGGACAGGAAAACCCCCGAAGACCAGTGGTTCCCACGTGTTGATCTAACAAACTAAAACTACAATGCTTCACTTTATTTCAGGAAAAACCAAAACAGTAACTTAACTTTCTGCTTTGGCTAAATAAAGTTCTCTTAAACCTCTGGAGCTGTTTCCTGCTTGTTTACTAACAGCAAGATAAATGAACTCAGGTGAACAGCACTGACAGTACAGGAAATAAGGTCCCACTGACCTTGCCTGGACAAGTTTACTGGTCAGGCCTGTCCCCGAGACAGGCTCTGACACCTGGAGGGGGCGGGGCGGGGTGGACAGGGATGAGCCAGGGGCTCCGGGCTCCGTCCAGGGCTGTGAGGCCTCTAATGTCACCCTCCTCTGTAGGATGACATGGTCGGACCTGATGCATTGCTCAAGTTCTGTGACCTGGGACTGCCTGGGGGTTTGGGCAGGGCGACAAGGCCGGGCCCCTGTAGGACCTGGAGCCGGCCCTGCACTAGCCCAGCCCTCCACCCCCCCAGAGTCATGCAAACCTGCTCCCACACCTGTCCACCCGTGGAGCTGCCTGTATGACTCTGGCGCACCTGCGGTCCCGCCTCTTCTCCCTCCCCACCTTTTTCCTAGCATCTATTTATTTGGCTGCGTCAGATCTTACTTGCGGCAGGTGGGATCTTTTTCAGGGCGCACACGCTCAAGTTATGGTGTGTGGGCTTAGCCACCCTGTGGCATGTGAGATCTCAGTGCCCGGACCAGGGATCGAACCCATGTCCCCTGCACTGCAAGGCGGATTCTTAACCACCGGATGACCAGGGATGTCCTTCTTCCTTTTTTTTGTTTCCCCTCTCTCCTTCCTTTCTTCTTAATTAATCTTTTTATTTTAAGAGAACATAGATTCACATGTCGTTGGAAAAAAACAGAACAGAGGCACTCTGTGTATCCTGTACTCAGTTTCCCCAAGTGTTAATAACACTGCAGACCAGAATCCCAGCCTGGACACTGACAAGATAGAGACATGGCCACTGCCACAAAGACCCTCCCGCAGTCCTTCTATAATCACGCCAACTCTTCATCACCCACACCCTCAGCCCCATTCCCTCCTTAATCCTGGAGGACGTTTCAAATTTTGTCATGTAAAGTGATATCACAGAGTTTATAACTTGGAGGGCTTGGCTATTTTCGTTCGCCAAAGTCCCCTGGAGGTTCCTCCAAGCTGTTGTGTGTGTCCGTGGTTCCTTCCCCCTCATCCCTGAGAGGAGTTCCATAGCATGCATGTGCCCCTGCTGTTTAACTGCTCGCTCGTTAAAGGACATCTGAGTGGCTTGCAGTTTGTGGCTGTGATGAATAAAGCTGCTAAACACTTTTGGGTACAGGCTTTGCTTGTGAACACAAGTCTTCATTTCTCTGGGATAAATGTCCAGGAATGAAACTCCTAGGTTGTATAGTAGTTGCATATTTCGTTTTTTGCTTATGTATTCTAGGGACCAGCCCTTTGGCAGATGTGTCATTGGAAAATATTTTTTCCTAATGTGTAGCTTGTCTTTTCATCCTCTTAACAAAGCATTTTTCAGGACAAAAGTTTAGATGAAGTTCATCAATTTTTCCTTTTATGGATGCTTGTGGTGTTGAGTCTAAGAAAGAACTCTATGCTTAGCTCTAGTTTTTGAAGATTTTCTCCTAAAATTTTTATGGTTTTATGTTTTACATTTCAGTTCATGATCTATTTTCAGTTATATTTCATAAGGTGTGAGACTTGGGCTGATTTCTATCTTTACCTGGGATGTCTAAGTGTTCCAGCAGCGTATGTTGAAAGGCTACCTCATAATAGGGGAATTAGAGTAGCTTATATTTTTCGATGAAGTAGTCCACTCTTCATATCAAATTCATGTATGTGGGGTTCTTCACAGCATTCCATTATTCTTTTTGATGTTTGCAGGGCCCGCAGTGATATCCTGTTTCATTCTTGATAATGGCAATTTGTTTCTTCTCTCTTTTTTTGATCAGTCTTATTAAATTAAACATTTGCCAATTTTATCGATGTCTTCAAAGAGCCAGATCTTTAATTCATAGATTTTTTAAAATGATTTTTGCTCATAATTTCACTGATTTCTGTTCACATCTTTATCATTTCATTCTTTCTGTTTGCTTTGGGTTTGTTTTGCTCTACAGTTTCTAGGTTCTTCAGATGGGAGCTTACTGACCTGAGATTCTCACTTTATCTAACATACGCATTTAGTGCTGTACGTTTCCTCTCAGCCATGCTTTAACGGTGTCTCACAAATTTTGGTAAGTGTATTTTCATTCATTTCAGTAATTTGCCCCATGGATTACTCATAAGTGTGTTGTTTCTAAGTGTTTGGAGATTTTCTTATTATCTTCCCGTTATTGATTTCTAGTTTGATTCCACTGTGGTTAAAGAAAACATTCTGTGTAATTTCAGTTCTTTAAATGTGCTGAGGTTTGTTTGATGGCACAGAATATGAACTTATCTTCGTGTACATTCTGTGGCATTTGAAGAGAATGGGTATCTTACTGTTGTTGGGTAGAGAGGTCCAAACATGTTGATTAGATCCTGTTGATAGGTGTTACTGAGTTCTTCTGTGTCCTGGCCAATTTTTGTCTAGTTGTCTACCCATTGTTGAGGGATGGGTGTTGAAGTGTCCGTCTGTAATTGTGGGTTTGTCTACTTTTCCTTTCAGTTCAGGTTTTGTTCCTCACATATTTTGAAGCTGTACTGTTTGTGCATCCACATTAGGATTGCCATGTCTTCTTGGTGAACTGACTCTTTATTCCTTTCACCGTCTGGTAATTTTCTTTGCCCTGGAGTCTCCTTTATCTAATGTTACGTAGACAGTCCTGCTTTCCTTAGATTAAGATTAACATGAAACACTTTTTCCCAACTTGCTATATTTGAAGTGAGTTTCCTAGAGACAGCATATGGTGAGACCAGTTTTCAAAAATTTATTCTGCCAACCTCTGCCTTTTAATTGATATATTTATTCCATTTACACTCAATGTAATAGTTGATGTTCAGGCTTAAGTCTGCCATTTTATTGCTTCAGTTTCTTCTATTTTTTCCTCTGTTCTCTTTTTTCTACTTTTCTGTGAGTTACTTAAACAGTTTTCAGAAGTTCAAGTAAAGAATAGAAAATGTACCTCTTCATACATCTGTTATTCTTCCCCATTCACAAAATAATCATCGTAAACATTTTTTCCACTTACATTAAAAAAAAAAAATTATTTGTTTTTGGCTGCGCCGGGTCTCTGCCGCCGCGCCTGGGCTCCTCGCTGGGACGGTTTCTCTGCAGCGAGCAGGGGCTGCGCCCTGCCGCCGCGCCTGGGCTCCTCGCTGGGACGGCTTCTCTGCAGCGAGCAGGGGCTGCGCCCTGCCGCCGCGCCTGGGCTCCTCGCTGGGACGGCTTCTCTTGCTGTGGAGCACGGGCTCTCGGGTGTGTGGGTTTCAGTGGCTGCAACATGCAGGCTCAGCAGCTGTGGCGCATGGGGTTGGTTGCCCCACAGCATGGGCTATCTCCCTGGACCAGGGATCAAACCCACGTCCCCTGCATTGGCAGGTGGATTCTTAGCCACTGGACCGCTAGCGAAGCTCCCTGCACATACATTTTGAACCACATCAGACAGTGCTATGATTTTTGCTTAGGCTATCAAACATAATTTAGAAAACTCAAGAGGAGAAGGAAAGTCTATTTTATTTACCTATTTTCTTGCTTATCATGCTCTTTTCTCTCTGCTGTTTCCTTCTTTTACTGTTTCCTTTCTGTGTAAAGAACTTCTTTAGTCATTTTTAGCATAGGTTTTCTGGTGACAAATTCTCTTAGTTTTCTCTTTCATCTGAAAACATCTTGATTCCTTCTTTGCTCCTGAGGATATTTCTGCTGTGTACATGACTCTGGATTGACAGGCCTGCCTTTTCTTTGAGCACTTGGAAAATTTTGCCTTACTTCCTCGGGCCTCTGTGATTTCTGATGAGTAATCCACTGTCATTTTAATTATTTTTTCCCTATAGGTAAGGAGTTGTTTATTTTTTCCTCTGGCTGTATTCAGGATGTTTCCTTTGTCTTTCATTTATGGAAGTTTATTGTTTATGTCTTAGATTTCTTTTTGTTTACCCCAGTTGGGTTTTGTTCAGCTTCTTGAATCTGACTTGTCTCTTTGCCAAGTTCTTTTTCATCCCATCTTCCTTCTCCTCACCCTCTCAGACCTCAGTGAAATGAACATTAGATTTTCTGTTGGTTCCACAGGTCCCTGAGGCTCTACTCAATTTTTTTCCAGTCTAATTCCTCTCTGTTTTTTATATTGGTTAATTCTGTTCTTTCAGTTCACCGAGTCTTTCTTCTGTTGCCCCGATTCTGCTGGTGAGCCTGTCCATGGCCTTTTTACTTTGTTGAAACTGTTTGCTCTAAAATTTCAGTTTAGCTCTTCTCTACATTTTCTACTTCTTTGCTGACACTTTTTATTTCTTCTGTTTCAAGTGTGTTCATAATTGGTCACTAAAGCATTTTTATTGCTTTTGCCTTAAAATCTCTTGTCAGACAATTTGAATATTTTTATCACCTCAGTGTCGGCATCTATTGATAGTTTCCTTTCTTTGGTTTAAGATCTTTCGGGTTCTCAGTATGATGAGCAATTTTAAACTGAAACCTGAATGTCTGTATGTTATTTTATGATTCTTGATGTTTGTTAACCCTTCTATAGTAGCTGGCACTTTCTGACCCTGTTCCTCACTGCCAGGCAGGGGTAGACGTCTGGGCTCCCAGTTCAGTCTGGGTCAACATCCGAGAGGAGCAGGCAGCTTGCCAGTGATGGGTGTGGGCTGAAGCCCAGGGTCCCCATGTGGTCCCCGCTGACACCGTGGTGGGGGTGCGTCACTGGCGGGGCAGACGTCCTGGCTCCTCACTGGGCCCTGTCTGGCACTGGAGGCTGTGGGCTCCTGTCACAGCGAGTGTGGGTGGAAGTCTGGGCCCCTGGCGCCTCCGTGGTGCAGGTGCGGGTGGAGGCAGGTGCCCATGGTGGCAGCGGGAGGATATCACGCATTGTCTAGAAGCCCTCCGTCTTGCTAGCGTGTCTTTTCCCTGCCACCAGCAGGAGAGCGGGCTCGTTGGGCTTTCTTCATCAGCCCTTTCTGGTGTTTATGAGTCGCTGGCTTCTTCTGCTTTAGTTCTGGAATAAAGGAGGCAAAAGAAACCCCAGGGACCCAGCGCATGTGCGGTCTCTCCCTCTTGTTATCACGTTGCTGACAACACATGTGGTGCTGGCCCCACCTCCATTGCCTGCAAGTCATGAGGACACAGGAGCTTTCGGAAAGGAAGCCAGGTGCTTCCATGTGGCCCTGTGCACCCCCACAGTCAAGAGGGGACAGCATATCTCAGCCAGGGCTGGGGGGGTGTGCAGCGGCCCCTCTATTGTTGGCTGGGCCCAAATAACAGAAGGAACTGAGCACACTGAAGCAGCCACGAGACAGATTGCTTCATCTGCTTTGAGTCCTCCCCAGCGAGACGGCATGCGTGTGAGTCCCACGTGCAGAGTCAGCCAGTGGAGCCACTTTGGACTCAGTGGAGGGTCTATCACAGTGCTTCCAAGAGGCGGAAGGGCCACGGCGTGGCCAGTGGGCAGACAGCTCGTTCACCTCCTGCCTTACCCTGGCCTGAAGTTCCGCTCTTGTCCGCCTCCAAACAGCATCGGGTACAGAGGGGTGTGCTCACCGAGCCCTCGGACGTAGAGCGCGCCGATCCTGGGGCCGTAGAACTGCAAGGAAAAGCCCGTCAGTCACTTATCCAACAAGAACCTTCGGGGACCTTCTCCTGCACGTGCTGAGAGCAACACGGAGATGCTCTGTAACGTGAGGGCCCTGCTCTCTGAGGTCTCATGGCCAGGACCCGTCCAGACACGGGTGCGGGGCAGGCGCTGACGCTGGGCCCCAGCTTGGGGGTAGAGAGCACCTGCCTGCCGCGGGGGAGGCTGACAGAAGGGCTGGAGCCAGAGGTGGCCGAGGGCTATCCTGTGGGCGGCTCCAGCTCTTACAGCCTCATTAGGGGTAAGTTTCACATGCCGGCGTGTCATGTGGACACACTCATTCCCTTGGGAACCAGCTGGGAAGAAAGTACTGAAAATACTCCCGGTTCTCTTGGCTGCGGGAGAGAGACACAAGAGCTTCAGAAGGGACTTCACTGCTAACTATCAGAATTTCCCCAGCACAGCCTAGAGCTGAGGGTCGCTAAAACCACACCTTCACTGTCTGAGCTGCCCTGTGAGTCAGATTAGACGAGCCCTCACTGATGAGCCCTGCGCCTTCCGTCCCTGGCTGGGGGTGGGGGTGGGCTGGGAGCACATAGAACACTCCGCGGCTGCTCAGTCACCCAGCCGTGTACGACTCCTTGTTGACCCCATGGACTGCAGCCTGCCCAGCTCCTCTATGGGATTCTCCAGGCAAGAATACTGGAGTGGGCTGCCATGTCCTCCTCCAGGGGATCTTCCTGACCCAGGGATCAAACCCGTGTCTCTTACATCTCTGGCATTGGCAGGCAGATTCTTTACCACTTGCACCACCTGGGAAGCTGCAGAGAACACTCGCCCCCGGGCGAAGCCTACCTGAGACCACCCCTCCCAGACTAAAGACCAGAGGAAAAGGGGAGGCTGGGCCAGACGACCGCATCCCCACCGGTCTCCCCAGGAGGACAGCAACTCACCATGACGACGCCTGTCTCATTGTTGGCCAGCATGATTGTCACCAGGCACGTGGCCGGGCGAACGGCTGCCAGGATGTCCTCAGCCTCCACCTGCCCGTTCACCTTGGACACGTGGACAAAGGTGACCTCTGAGGAGTAAGACACAAATATGAGGTCAGCCCAACAAGGCCTCCTCTCTGGAACAGGACACAGTGAAAAAAGCAATTTATTGTAAAGGTTCAAAAGACTCTGAAGGAATATGAGCCACCCTTTGTCACCAGGCCCACAGACAATAGCTTGCAGGCTTCACCAATGAGCCTCAGTGGCGGGGTCTCTCTGGGGACCCTCTGTTCTCCTCTGAGGGACCTGTGAGCAGCTGAGACACCTCAGTTCACAAAAGTATCTTGAGGTGCCAGCAACGTGACCTTCACTCACTCAGCGCTGACCCAGCCCTCCTTAAGCCCCTCCTGTGTACCCGGCACTTAGACCCCTGCTACTGCAGGTGGAAGACAGGCAGGGTGACTAAGCCCAGGTTTCGGGTGCAAAATGCTGAAGACAACACACCTGCTTTCCCCTCAAGGTCCCACTGAAATGAGAGAACGGATATATTTCTCAACATGGGCAGCACCTTGTGGATGAGGAATTCTGAGCCATGCCCAGAATACAGAGAGATGGTGGCATCAGATTAATGCCAACAGGGAAAACCCACCCAGGTTGCGGACAGGTGAAAACTAACTCTGTAAAGAGTAGGAAAGGACCTAGAGGTCAGCTGAGCTCAGGGTGTACACGCGGAGAGCTGGGGGAGTGCCGACTGCTGGGGCAGGCAGAGGACCAGGTTCTGACACCCAAGGACCTCCACCCCACTCCCAGAAGTGGGCAGCAGAGGCGCTAGCCTGGCCAGGCAGGCTCCCGGGGTGGGGGTGGGGGCGGTGATTGTCTGTTCATGATCGTCTCTGGCTGCTGACCAATTTTGTAGCATTTCAGCAAATTCATTTCAGTGTTCTTGGCTGTAATAAAAAACACTGACAGCAGACAAATGTTGGCAAGGACCCAGAGAAATCGGAAGCCCAACCCCACCCCAGGCACCGCGGTGGGAATGTAAAATGGTGAAACTCAGGTGTAATACAAAGGTTAGGGTTAAACAAGTAGAGCCTTGGAAAGGTGAAACACAGAATTACCACGTGACCCAGCAGTTCCACTCCTGGCAGATACTCGAGAGAAACAAAAACATACATCCAGACAAACACGTCTATACAAATGCTCCCAATGGCATTATTCATAATATTAATATCAAATGTTCATCAATGACGAACAGATAAAATGTGAATATCATTTATCCATAAAAAGGGAGTAAAGATTGGCACAGGCTATGATGTGGATGAACCTTGAAGACACAGTGCTAACTGAAAGAAGCCAATGACAAAGACCACGTATCCTATGATTCCCTTCACATGGGAGTCAGAATGGGCAAATCTCCAGAGACGACTATGGACCAGCTTGCCCAGGGGTGAGGGAAACAGTTTCAGCTACAGGTAACGAGGTCCTCTGTGGGATGTGAAAGGCATCATAACTGATTGTGGTGATGGTCACACAACTCTGTGAATACACTTTAAAACGACTGAAATGTACACTTCAAATGGGTTCAGGGTATAGTATGTGAGTTCTGTCTCCATAAAGCGGGTGTTAACAAAAACAAACCCACTGGGACATTGTTGGGGTGGAGGGGTGGGAGACAGGCAAGGTCAAGTCCCCGTTTCACACTTGGGCGTCAACAGACAGGTGCTTGAGTGATAAACCAAGAAATGGAGATTATGTTTGTAAGCAAGTAAGTATTAAAGTGGAAGCAGCTAAAATGATGATACTGAGTGGGAGAAAAACTGAAAGCAAACTCAAGGGGCCTCAGGACTAGGGCTTTGGGGAAGAACCTTTGCTTTTCCTTGAAACCTTTCTGCAGATCTTTATTTCCATCCCTGCATGTCTATACTTTGTAAAAACTTGTGTAATTTTAAACGAGGTAACATGTAATAGTAACCAATGACAATGTATTACATTGCCTTTCCCTGTTACAAGTGAGACAGGGATGAAAAGGAATTACAGTTTAAAGAAGAAAGTAGGACCTAACTTGTTTTAGTTAAAGTGGTCCACTCAGGAGAGATCACAAAGAGAAAAACCTTTCCAGTAGTTGAATGGGAAAACCAGTAATAAGGCTCACGGTCCAACCGAGCAGTTCTGTCCCACTCCTTATCCTTAAGATACAAACACTTTCCCTGCTTCCCCTCGGGTTTCCAGGCAGATCAGGTAATAAGGCGAACATCGAACAGAAGAGCACTGTCTTATTCCAGGCAGAGTTCAACCTCAGCTGTTCTGAGAACGATGACTTCTATAAATTAGTTTTGAAAAACTAGTCTCGACACCCTATGTCTCAGGATGCTGCATCACAGGAAAAGTGAAGGAAGGACCGGCAGTGACCTGGGCCACTGCCACTGCTGGGCAAGCCCTACCTGCCCTCGGACTCCCTGGCAGGGGCACCTCCTGGGGGGCTCCCAGGAGGACCACCCCTGCCCCTCACCTGGGAGGCCCGAGCCTCCTCTGTGCTGAGAGAAGGGCTCCCAGCAGCAGTGCACTTATTCTTGTTTTTACCACCAGAAGTCAGGTCTACTGGATCCTTTTCCTTTCTACCAGAGGGAGGGAAGCCAAGAATTAATTATTAAAATCAAACAATGAAAAGCACAAGTTAGCGTTTATAGGCGTGCTACTAAATATGCATTTACTTATCATACACAAGAGGCGGCTCCCTGGTGGCTCGGCAGTAAAGAATCTGCCTGTGATGTAGCAGATGCGAATTTGATCCCTGGGTCAGGAAAATCCCCTGGTGGAGGAAATGGCAACCCATTCCAGTATTCTTGCCTAGAGAACTCCACAGAGAGAGGAGCCTGGCAAGACAGTCCGTGGGGATGCAAAGAGTTGGACACGCCTGAGTGAGTAAACTACCACCATACCATTTAAAGAACGCAGAGTTCATGGTGAGCTGGGCTCTGGATTGGGCAAAGTGGTAATTCTTTCCAGGTTGTCAGGTCTTATGAGGCACTGGACTATGGGAGAATAAGCAAGTTGGCAACCAGGAGGTGGTGTGTGTGTGTGTGTGTGTGTGTGTGTGATCACACACAAGAGCCTATGCATCATTCGGTGATAAATGACCAGTTCCACACATTGATAATCATGGGGGGTGTGTGTGTGTGTGATCACACACAAGAGTCTATGCATCATTCGGTGATAAATGACCAGTTCTACACACTGATTATCATGGGGTGTGTGTGTGTGTGNTGTGTGTGTGTATGTGTGTGTGTGTGAGAGAGAGAGAGAGAGAGATCATACCCAAGACTCTATGTATCATTCGGTGATCAATGACCCTTTCCACACACTGATTATGGTGGTGTCTGTGTGTGTGTGTGTGAGATCACACACAAGAGTCTATGCATCATTCAGTGATAAATGACCAGTTCCACACACTGATCATCAATTTGTCCCTCAGGGAAAATCTGGAAGAAGCACAGGCCATGTAAGCGTCACACCACAGCACAGCTCGGTGGGCGGGTGCGGGAGGGCAGGTGGTTCATGTGGCCCCTGGGCCGGCCAGCGGTCACTCACCGGCCACGCGCTCCTCCCCCAGGTGCTCCAGCGGCAGGCGGATGGAGTCGTGCTCCACGGTGCAGGTGATGATGTGCGGCAGGGCCCTGTCCACTGGGCTGGGATGCCCGCCCGTGTCCCCGTTGGCGGTGTGGACTTTGTGGAAGTGCTTCACCATGGACTGGATTACTAAATTATTTGACTGCAGAGACAGAGCGGAACTGTTACTTACAATAACCACCCAAGGGGAGCCGTCGAGTAACAATAGCTCTCATTTGTAGTTTCTTTTGTGGCTAACGTGGAAAAAAAAGGTCTCAAAGAAATTCAGCTCCTGAGCTGTGCCTTCTGAAAGACCCAACTACAAAGATCTGGGGGTTTTCAACTTTCAGAAATGTCAGAATTCACTTCTAGTGGATTCTGATTTTTGTTACTGTTGTTAAGCAACATTATACATTTACAATTTTCTAAATCTGTTAAAAAAGCATATTTTGCCCAGGCACCCATCGCTGGTGCGAGTGTGAACTGGCGTAACCCCTGTTAAAGGCCGCCTGGTGCATTCATCAAATAAGCCCTCTGACCCAGGAGGTCTATTTCCTGGACTTGATCCTATAGCTGCACTTGCATAGAAGCAAAGCGATGGACGAGAAGTTGATCAAATGTACAAAGATGAAGCAGCAAAATCTTAGAAGCCTCAATGTCTATCAATAAGGGGGCTTGGTAAATAATTACACATTGTTAGGTGGACACCAAGCAGATGTAACAGCATCGAGGGACCACTCCACAGGCTGATGCCAAAGATCTCAAAGGCACTTGTTAAATGAAAGAAGGTAGCATGCACTGGATGCAGCATCCTACAGTCTGTATAAAAAGGGCAAGACACATACACATTCACACATACACCCCTCCCCGCCACATCCTTCCTTGAAGAAGTAAAATAGGAAGGAGAGAAGAGAAGAATTATCTACACCTTTAGCTGCATTTGGACTTCCCTGGTGGCTCAGATGGTAAAGTGTCTGTCTACAATGAGGGAGACCTGGGTTCGGTCCCTGGGTCGGGGAGATTCCCTGGAGAAGGAAACGGCAACCCACTCCAGTATTCTTGCCTAGAAGATCCCATGGATGGAGGAGCTTGGTGCAGGCTACTGTCCATTGGGTCGCAAAGAGTCAAGCACAACTGAGCAACTTCCCTTTCTTTCCCTTTAGCTGCATTTAAGGCAAAGACTGTCTCTGCAGGACTCAACAGAAACTAACTGTACTGGTCTCCTGTAGGGACGGGAAGTGGATAACTGAGGAGATGGGGTGGGAGATTTTTGTGTCAAATCTTTTTCTCTTATTATTATAACAGTATTATTATTGTTCTCATTATTATTATATATGGGCTTCCCTGGTAGCTTAGCTGGTAAAGAATCTGCCTGCAATGCAGGAGACCCCGGTTTGATTCCTGGCTTGGGAAGATTTGCTGGGGAAGGGATGGGCTACCCACTCCAGGATTCTTGGGCTTCCCTGGTAGCTCAGCTGGTAAAGAATCTACCTGCAATGCAGGAGACCTGGGTTGGATCCCTGGGTTGGGAAGATCCCCTGGAGACGGGAACAGCTACCCACTCCAGTATTCTGGCCTGTAGAATTCCATGGACGGTATAGTCCAAGGGGTCGCAAAGAGTTGGACACAACTGAGCGACTTTCACTTCACTCTTGTTATTAAATTTAACATACATACAGAAGAGCACAGAAATCTAAGTTTAATGAGAAAGTATGACAGTGAACATCTGAGTAACAGTAACCTGGATCAAGACAAAAAAACAGCCCCTACTTAGGGACCCCCCAACTTGCTCTCAATCACCACCTCCCCCACCCCAGCTAATTGCCACCCTGATTTGTATAGTAATCATTTTCCTGCTTGTCTTTACATGTTTCCTTCCTGTGTAAGCATTCCTAACCAATTTTGCTGATTTTGCCTCTTTTGGACCTTCATATGAATGGAATTGAACTGAACTGATCTTTTTCTCAGCTGAACATCCAACCTATTCAGGTATCCGAAGGCACCACCTGCGGGAAGGCGGGGGCCGTGCTTGCTCGGTGGCAAGGAGCCCCGCACTCTTTCACCCGGCGGGGACTGCAAAGGCTCTGAGCGTGTAAATAGGGGGCCCTGGGGGAGAACGAGGCAGCCGATGCAGGGACTCCAAGACCCGAGACGCATCAACCTGGGTGATGGGGAGGAGGGTCAGGATGGACAGCTTGGATGCGCTTCTCTGAGTGGCGGGTGGTTCTTTATAGAGTCCCACCCCCTTCTGAGAACACTGCTGCCCACACAGTGATTCCTGGTCCAGAAAGGGGGGTCCTCGGGGGCTGCACATCTCAGGTCAGAGCTGCTGGAGGCGCTGGGAACGCAGCAGCCTCTGTGGGAATCAGCTGGTCACAACTGAAAATGCACTGCGTGCCCTCAGGCCAACAGGCTGCTTGGCACCTGGTCCCAGACGAGATCAAGATGGCCCACAGGGCAGCCAGGGCGACTCCGTGCAGGCCATCAGGAGTCTGGGAGCCGGTGTGCAGGGGTGGTCACTGCCCAGGGGCCCGTCAGCGCCCTGCGCCCCAACCCGGCCCCTCCGGCCGGGGTCAGCTAGTCTCGGGCTGGCACCCTCCAAGCCGCACCTGGGAGTCCTCCAGCTGCTGCAGGGCACAGGCTGGTACCCTTCACCTGGGACTGCCCCAGAGACGTGAGCACCCGTCAGTGCTGTTTAGAGGGACGTGTGGGTGATCCCTGGTCTCCAGCTGTCCCAAAGGTGCCATGAGTGGTCCTACCTGCCCCTGGTGTCCACATGCCCCATTCTTCTCGGGCATGTCCCCAAGCGGAGCAGCTGGCTGACAGGGCGACATGGCCTCAGTTTTGCCAGGAGGCGCCCACCCGCCTTCCAGCATGGTTTCCAGCCTGCGCCCCCATCTGCCCTGTGCTCTATACCTCCTGCCATTGGACCTCTTGCTTCTTCCATCCTGACAGGTGGGCAGAGGCACCCATGTTGCTGTTTACCTTTGATCCTGACCAATTATGAAGCTGAGAACCTTTTCCCATGTAGAAACCACAGGGGCGTCTCCTTGGTGCAGGGTTTAACGTCTCTTGCCCGTTTTCTACTGGATTGTCTGCAGGTATATTCTGGATGCGAGTCTTTTGTCAGTTACTTGCTGCAAACATCTCCCAATGCCTGGCTGGTCTTCTGATTTCCTTCAGGGTTCACTGATGATCTACAGTTTGTTTTGTGGTGATGGGAGAATTTATCAATCTTTTATAGTTAAAGGTTTCTGTATTTTATTTAGCAAATCTATCACTCTTCAGCGTCACAAGGGCCAGGGCTCGTCACATGACAAGGGCCCATTCAGGTATGGCCCTGTTTCTGGCCCAGTGTCTCTCATTGCCCTAAGACCGTCTGTCTTAATTCATAGAGCAATTCACTGCATTCTTAATCTTCAAGAAGTCTTGGCTATTCTTGGCATTTTGTATTTCCATGTGGTGAGGCGCCATGAAAAAAGGAGTCAGAATTCTGACCAATGTTGCACTGAATCCATAGACCTAAAGAGCTGACACAGCTATATTGAGTGTTCCCCTCTGTGAACATGATATACGCTCCGTTATTCAGAACTTCTTTGAAGGCTCTCGGTAATATATTCTATTCCTTTCCCAATGTGTATATGCATTGGGGTGGGGAGTGGTTTACAAAATCTTTTTTACTAGATTTATTTCCTAAGTATTTGATATTTTTTGGTACTCTGATAAATATGCGTTGTTGATGGTACCTAAAAATACACTTGATTTTTTTAATCTAATAACTTTGCTAAATTTACTTATTAATAATCTAGCTACAGATTCTTTTTTTTTTTTTTAATATGGACAGTAACATCACCTGTGAGGGACCTTCCTTTCCAATAAGGAAATGAGATGGTAAGACTGACTGAGTAGAGGCCTTGATGCCATCAAACAGTCATTGAGAATCTTCTATCAATTTAAAAAGGAATACCTTTCAAATGGGTCAAACCTCACACTTGTTTTTTTTTAATCGGAGTATGGTTGATTTACAATGTTGTGTTAGTTTCAGGGGTACAGCAAAGTGATTCTGTTATACACACATTCTTTCTCAGATTCTTTTCCATTACAAGTTATTACTGGACACTGAATATAGCTGCCTGTGCTGTGCACAGGTCTTGGTTGTTTATCTGTTTTATATGTAGTGGTGTGTATATATTAACCCCAAATTCCTAATTTCTCTCTTCCTTGCCCCGCTTCCCCTTTGGTAACCATGGCTTCTTCTAAGTCTGAGAGTCTACTTCTCTTTTATAAATCAGTTCACTTGTATCATTTTTTTAAAAAGATTCCCTGTACAAGAGATATCATATAATACTTGTCTTTCTCTGAGTTACTTCCCTCAGCATGTATCATATATATGTACCATATCTTCTTTATTCACTTATCTGTTGATGGACATTTAGGTTGCTTCCATGTCTTGGCTATTGTAAATAGTGCTGCTATGAACACTAGGGTGGATGTATCTTTTTGAATTAGGGTTTTCATCTTTTCTGGGTATATGCCCAGGAGTGGGATTGCTGAATCATATGGGAACTCTATTTTTAATTTTTAAGGCACCTCCATAGGGCTTCCCTGGTAGCTCAGATGGTAAAGAATCCACCTGCAATGTGAGAGACCTGGGTTTAATCCCTGGGTTAGGAAGATCTTCTGGAGAAGGGAATGGTTACCCACTCCAGTATTCTTGCCTGGAGAATTCTATGGACAGAAGAGCCTGGCGGGCTACAGTCCATGGGGTCCCAAAGAGTTGGACATGACCGAGTTACTAAGCACACACATACTGTTCTCCATAGTGGCTGCATCAATTTACATTTCCACCAACCATGTAGGAGGGCTCCCTTTTCTCCATACCCTCCCCAGCATTTGTTGTTTATAGATGTTTTAATGATGGCCATTCTGACTGCAAACCTCTTAGTAAGGTAAACTTAGGGATATAAAGGAATGATTCCAGGGCAAAATGAAGGAGACACTCTCTTTATTGAGACAGCAATGCAAAGCAAGTTAATTCATACGTTAGGTAACAAATATCCTATCAGCCCCCTGGAATTCACTTACAGGATAAATACTGCTTACTAATATCAGGCTAATTTGCAAAATACCAGGACAAAGCATTACTCTTCAAAAGACAATAATACCAAGAGGGCACCACCTCATACTTTTTAAAAAATAACTGAAAGCTAAAAGAACACAAAACTTCGAACTGTTTACCTCGGTGCCCCCTGAAGTGAAGATCACGTCCTGAGGCTGCCCACCTATCATCTTGGCGAGGTTCTCCCGGGCTGTGTTGATAATCTCCTTGGCCTTCCTACCTGGAGGAACCAAAGTGGAAATTCAGTAACTTGGCTGCACCAAATCCAATCAACACACATTGAAAGGAGCAACCAGACATGAGGGAGCAGGTTGCTTAGTGGGCAGTTCTAGGACAACACGTGTTCAATAATGTGAGTGACAGCCTAGATATTATGTGGCGAAGGGACAGCTAATCAGGGGAAACTACTGAGACTCAAGGAACTTGGGAAGAGCTAGAGACAGCCGGGGGAGGAGGCCGGAGTCCTAAAATTCTGAGAGTGGCTTTCTTCTTACCCGACGCTACGGGAGAGGATCTGTGGCCATCTGCCCCGCTTCCCATTCGGGAAGATGTGAGAAGGAAAGGGTGGAGTAATAGATCATGCTGCAAAACAACAAAAATAAGCAGAAATAGAACCCATGACTTCTCAACACAAAGTCCAGCACCATATGTCACAGTGCAGGTCCCCTCAGTCACTAGACAGGTCACTGCCCCAGGGACCCATTTGCTTCCAAACCTGGGCTCAGAGCCCAGCTAGCCCTAGTTTCATGGGAGAGCAGGAAACAGGAACTGAGCTTCACGTGGTGGAGAAAGAAGGGCTCAGGGCAGGAATTCTGGAGATGTCCATGACCATTCATACTTCGACTACAGACCAGTAGCCTCCAAACCTTTTGACCATTCAGTCTTAGTTACAAAAATACTTTTTTGAGCAGGTACCGCTATAATAAATATGTAAATAGAAAACACACATAAAGATAAAAATGTTAAAAGATGCGGTTAAAATACATATATGAAGTCATCCACACACTCCCTAAGACTACTGCGTTAAGTTTTCATTACAAGTTAGGAAAGTCTGCAGTGTTTAGGAGACCCAGTCAGTTCAATTAGGGATACTTGAAAGACTGTGATCAGCATCAGTCAACATGGGCAGGAGCACCGTGGACACCGTGAGCCCTCGGGCATGCCTCTCAGCTCGTCCACCCGCTCTCTCCCCATCCTGCCCCAGGATTCTGTTGAGAAGCCACTCAGAGGAGCCGCTGGGCTGGTCCTCTGCCTACCCCACCTTCCCTCCCCACAGCAATCCTGTGGCCCATGTGGTGTGCATCAGCCTGCAGCCTTTTTCGACCCACTGACAGACCTTCGTCTAAGCGTTTCTTTTCTTTTCCCTTTTCAGAACTGGGTTTCATAATTTACATACTGGTTTGCAAAAACTCCCCCTTCCACTTATCGACAAAGTCTTGGAGACCCTTCTATGTAAGGATTCATGGGGTTACCTCTCTACCGTCATGTGCCTATTAAAACAGCTAAAATGAAAAGACTGGCCAGTCCAAGTGGTCAGGAGGTTGTGGAGGAAATGCAACTGTCATCACACCAGTGGGAACACAAAATGGTACAAGCATCTTGGAGAGAGGTCAGCGGTTTCTTAAGAAGTCTAACCTCCTCTTCCCACCCGATCCTACCATTCCACTCCTAGGTGTTTAAGGTATAAACAGAAAAAAGAGGCGATGACCGTGACTCGTACATCGACATTCACAACAGTGTCATTTACAATCGCCAAGAACCAGGAACAGCTCACACACCCGTCAGCAGATGAGAACATGAGCACAGCATAATAGACCACCACCCGGCAGGGCAGACCGACCAGCTACTGACAATCAAACAGGTCAGTCTCAAGGTAACTATGCTGACCAAAAGAAGCCAGATGAAAAACTGGTAAGATTCCATGTTTATACAAACACAGAAAATGCCCACTGCTCACAGGGCAGGACGAGAGCCTCTTCCTGAGGGTTATTCCTAAACTTCTTCATGACAAATGCCTTTTATTAGCACTCAATTGTTTTCCACATTCTCCAGTTTTATGCGTCAGAAAGTTCAGTTTCTCTAGAGGAAGATTAGCTACAAGGCAAAGTCCAAAAGATTAACCAGAATACATGTACAAAATAAACCAACAATGAAGTTAATGAATGACTACTATCTAATTTTGAAAAGGCTTTTAGTTACCAAGTTTACTAAGCAAATGAACATGAAAACCCACAGAAGCCTGTAAATCTGTACACAAGTATTGTTAAGTCAGAGGCTTCCCTGGTGGCTCAGCAGTAAAGAACCTGTCTGCCAATGCAGGAGACCCAGGTTTCATCCCTTGGTCAGGAAGATCTCCTGCAAAAGGAAACAGAAACCCAATCCAGTATTCTTGCCTGAAAAATTTCATGGACTGAGGAGCCTGGCTGGCTACAGTCCATGGGGTTGCAAAGAGTCGGACATGACTTAGTGACTAAAACAACACTGCTAAGTCAATTCTAAAGGAAACCAACCCTGAATATTCACTGGAGGGACTGATGCTGAAGCTGAAGCTCCAATACTGTGGCCACCTGACGCAAAGAGCCAACTCAATGGAAAAAACCCTGATGCTGGGAAAGACTGAAGGCAAAAGGAAAAGGGGACAGCAGAGGATGAGCTGGTTAGACAAAATCACCGACTCAATGGACATGAGTTTGAACAAACTCCAGGAGACAGTGGCTTCCCTGATAGCTCAGCTGATAAAGAATCTGTCTGCAATGCAGGAGATCCTGGTTCAATTCCTGGGTCGGGAAGATCCGCTGGAGAAGGGATAGGCTATACACTCCAGTATTCTTGGGCTTCCCTTGTGGCTCAGCTGGTGAAGAATACACCTGCAATGCGGGAGACCTGGGTTCCATTCCTGTGTTGGGAAGATCCCCTGGAGAAGGGAATGGCAAACCACTGCAGTATTCTCGCCTGGAGAATTCCACAGACTGCATAGTGTGTAGTCCATCAGTCCATGGGGTCATAAAGAGTTGGACATGACTTAGCAACTAAACAACAACAACAATTGTTAAGCCCTATCCCATGAACCGAGGAGCGTGGCAGGCTGTAGTCCATGGGGTCAACAAAGAGTCAGACATGCCTGAGCAACTTAGCACGCACACAGCATGCATCCCTGATAAGACTTTAAATAAGAAGGCACAGCTTCAGCTCACTATCTGCAAAATAAAACGTGACTCAGCCAAGTAACTACTGATCTAAAGCAAATTATTTTGCAGAACCTCTAACTTAAAGCTCTACATGGAATCAACAATAAATGAGAAACATATTTCCAACAGACTGTGGAAAATTCTTAAAGAGATGAGAATACCAGACCACCTGATCTGCCTCCTGAGAAATCTGTATGCAGGTCAAGAAGCAACAGTTAGAACCCCGAGCATGGGACAACAGACTGGTTCCAAATCGAGAAAGGAGTATATCAAGGCTGTATATTGTCATCCTGCTTATTTAACTTATATGCAGAGCACATCATGAGAAATGTTAGACTGGATAAAGCACAAGCTGGAATCAAGATTGCTGGGAGAAATATCAATAACCTCAGAAATGCAGGTGACACCACAATTATGGCAGAGAGAGAAAAAGTACTAAAGAGCCTCTTGATGAAAGTGAAAGAGGAGAGTGAAAAAGCTGGCTTAAAACTCCACATTCAGAAAACTAAGATCATGGCATCTTCATAAGATCACTTCATGGAAATAGATGGGCAAAAAATGGAAACAGTNTGGGAAAGATTGAAGGCATGAGGAGAAGGGGATGACAGAGGATGAGATGGTTGGATGGCATCACCAACTCGATGGACATGAGTTTGAGTAAGCTCCAGGAGTTGGTTATGGACAGGGAAGCCTGGCGTGCTGCAGTCCATGGGGTTGCACAATCGGATATGACTGAGTGACTGAACTAAACAGAAAGAACATTAAAATAATTTTTATTTTTAAAAAAGGAGGCCAGGATTCTATGTGATCCTGATTATGTAAAAGATCTAGCTTGCAAATTTTGTAAGGATCGACAGAGACAGATACGTGACAGGGTCTTAATAAGTACTGTTATTACAAACAACTTTTTTTTTTTGATTGTGCCTTGCAGCAAACAGGGTCTTAGTTCCCTGACCAGGGATCAAACCCACGCCCCCCTGCATTGGGAGCACAGAGTCTTAACCAGTGGACCGCCAGGGAGGTTCCCTACAAGCAGCTCTTAATACGACATCTTTTTCATCTGGGAAAGGGGGACAGGAGAGCATGTTAAAGATGAAAGATTATGGTATCAACAAAGCTCAAATTTGGTCTTTTCAGGAAAAAAAAAAAAAAAAACTATGCAGAATTACAGCTAAAGACATGCGGTTGACAGAAAATCCACTCAAAACCGAGTCATGCCATATAGTGTAGAGTTCCTCCAAGAGTGCCCCTCCCCCTCATCTCAGATCTGGGCATGTCTTCTAGAATTACCTGCTGGGTAAGAGCTACTGGGATTTCCCCAGGCTTCCCGCATGGCCTCTGTCATGGCCTCAATCACTTCTGGCTCCAGGGGGGTGGTTGCATTATAGTCCATATACACTTTCCTGCTGGAGAGAAAACAAAGACGTGCCTCTTCAGGACAAGAAGATGAAATGTGGAAAAACAGCTGCACTCAGTCTATGTTGTCAGCAGGAGCAAACAGTGTCAAGGTTGGGGGCTTTTCTGCAATTACAGTGTGTGCTTAGGAATGCCCACGTCTGCATCCCTTTCGGAAAATGTATACATGATTTCTGATTACCTAGTGTTCTTGTCTGGAGAATCCCATGGACAGAGGAGCCTGGTGGGCTACAGTTCGTAGGGTCGCAGAGAGTCAGACATAACTGAAGTAGCTTATAGGAGGAGGAGTATTTGCTAGTTTCCTTTACCACTGCTGGGAGACTGTCCACTTAGACTTCCAGAGCTTCTTTCCAACCCACGCTGCTTCCTTCTAATGCAAGGGGGGAACCTTGCAGGCCCAGGGAGTCGCACATTCCTGAGGGCTTTTCCCCTGGTGTTTGAACTTCACCACTTCACTGGCAGTTTTCCTGTATTTCCCGGTGGTGTCTGTGATGGCCGTGAGGCTCGGGTGACCAAGGTTCCCATGGTTCCTCTCACGGCCTCTCTGTGTCCCCTGCATTGCAGTCTCAGGGACTTCTCTCTTTGCATTTTCTGTTTCCTTTGCCTGTAATGACGATGCCCTCCACCACTGCCTTACTTTTTAGGTCTTTGCTCCAACTTGACCTCATGAGGCTAGTGTCTAAATGAAACTGCAGCCACTCCTGCCCTCCTCCCCAGGGCTCTATGTCCCCCTGCTTCTCTGCAGCACCCCATCATCTAACACATGAGTCTTGCCCCTTGTTAATTCTCTGCCTTGATAGAATGTAACTGAACAGCAGCTCCACGAGCTCCCATATTCCTCCCAGGTGTGTCGCCAACACTGAGGACAACGGCTGGCACACAGTAGGGGCTTGACATATAAGGTGACAAATGTCATAAGAAAGTGCGCAGCCCCTGAAAGATTCCTAGGTGAAATTTACCTGTGTGTGTGTATGTATATATATATATATATATTTATTTTTCAGAATCAAAAACTTTCAAGCACAGGGAACTCTACTTAATACTCTGTAATGGCTTACATGGGAAAAGAACCTTAAAAAAAAGGAATGGACACATGTATATATATAACTGACTCACTTTGCTGTACAACTGAAACTAACACAGTACTGAAAATCAACTCCAATAAAAATTTCTTAAAAATCTCAGAAACGTTCATGAATGTATATAGCAGACAATCCTGTCAGATAGTATTCATTATTTTACCTGATTTTTAAGTCAACAATAGTGTTCAAGCCAATTCACACGTAAATTTAAACACAATTACCAACGGTGGCTGCTAAACACATTTTTAAAAATCCATGGAGTGTTTGAATGCAACATCTTGTCTCTACGATGCCCAAGTACAAGGCTTTGGGGCTTGGGAAATATGACCAGCATTCCTTGACCACCCTAGGATTAGGAATCCCTGCTGCTGAGAATTAAATCTGCTTGTGTCCCTAACTCTGCTCTCACTTCCGGTAAGTATTTTGAAGTTCCTCAAACTACTAGTGACCACAGCTCTTCAATCTCCTGCTTGGCTGAGTTAATCCATAGCTTGAATTTCAGACGAATGCATCATAGATTACTCTGCCCCAGTATATGCTGCTTCTTTAAAGTGTTATCAATATTGCATGGGAAAAGTAAACTTTGTTAGATTCGTAACTGAAAAATGAAAAGGCATCGTGAATCTCTGCCTTCAGTCAGTACCGTTTTCCTTCTTAGCTCCCTTTTCTCCGGCCCAGACAAATGAAACGGAAAGAAAGAGCAGTCAGATTTAGGCCTAGACCCAAATGTTAAAGATACAAACCCATTTCTCACATTCGGTAGAGAGGATTACCCCCTCCCCCGCGAAAGTATTTAACAAATTCTTGGATTCAGGATGAAGACTCTCAAACACACCCAAAGCATTTCCCGCCGGCCCCCCCACCCCCAGAGGGAGAAGGTCCCAGCACCGGTGGACTGAGGTATCTCCCAGTCTTGCTCCCCACTCTGCCAGCTGCTCAAGCCTGGAAGCTTTCTTTTTAACACTCCCACCCCCCGACTCCTTCCCCTCACCACCCCCCCTCCGCTTCGAGCAAGCACCAGCAAGTCGGGCAGGTTTTGTCAGGTACTTTCGCCACGCCTTTACCCGCAGAGGTCCACATCACCTCTGCCTCCCAGATTCCTAACGGGTTTTCCTGATTGCTGCAAACCCTGACTCCCTACCAAGCAGCCAGGAGTCCTGTAAAATACACAACAGCGACCTATAATGTGATTAAATTACATCACTTCCCTTATAATATAATTAAATTACATCTGCTCAAACTTCCAGGAGCAGCATCGCAGTGACAATACGCCCCAAGGTCTTCCCCGGGTCCTGCCGGTGGACAGCTGCCCCAGGCCCTACGGTCCCAGCCTCCCGGGACCGCGCGGGCTCGTCCCTAGAACCCGCGCTGCGGACTCCTGAGCGCCCCTGGGGTTTTCGGCCCGAGCGTCACCTCTCCGGAGCCCTTCCCAGGCCCCGCCGTTGCGCCGCTCGTCCTGCCGGCAGTCATCGTCTCATCCTGCACGGGCCCTCCCGCGCGGGAGTGACCGGCCAGCTGGCACCCCGCTCCCCGGGAAAGCCCCGTTCCGCCGAGAGCGGCCGGCGGCCCACCGCCCCTCGGGGAATGACCACCCGCCGCCGCCGCCACCGCCACGCGGCGCCTGGAGGGCTTCTTGGAGGAGCGCGCCGACGGCTCTCCCCACCTTCCCCTCAAGGAGCGCACCTCTCGGGCGGGCTCTTCTCCGCTCGACCCCGCGCGTCCCTGCTCCGCGCCCCAGCCGCCTCCATCCTGACCCCACCGCGGCCCGCTTCCAGCCAGCCAGCCCGCTCAGGCGAGGCCCAAACCCGCGGAGCCTGTCACGGTTCGGAGCGCCGCCGGGAGGGGGCGGGGCCGCGGGCGCCGGGGCCGTGCGGATTGGCTGAGCCGCGCAGCTTCGGCCAATCCTCGCGCTGCAGCGGCGCTCTGCGGGGAGGTGGGGACCCCGGTCGCGCGCGCTGAGGCGAAGGGCTGGGGGCGGGGTTTCAAGAGAGTCACGGGGGCGTGGTCACGTCGGCGGCGCGCGGGCGGGCGAGGCGCGCCAGGAGGGGCGCTCCGCGGGGAGACAGGTCCCCTGACGCGCGCTCTGAAGAGACAGGCTGGGGGCGGGGCTTCAAGCGCGCCGTGGGGGCGTGGTCACGGCGGCGACGCGCAAGGAGGAGGTGCCCGACCCGGGGCGGCGGGGCTCCAGTCGCCGGTCCTCATACGTCCGCTCGGCTGGAGCCGTCGTCAGCCGAGGCCGGTAGGCCGTACCTTTCGCCTCCTCGGTGACCCGACCCTCTGCGCGGGTGACTTCGGGCTCGTCTCGCAAGGGTGGGTCTGAGGGACCAGGCGAGACCCGAGGGACACCGCCCGGGGCGCGGGGCAGGGCGTCTGGAGGGCCTAGGCAGCGGGGGCGCCGCCGGGCACGCGGGAGCGAGGGGAGGAGCAGCGCCGGTACCCGGACGGGAAGGCGCCCAGGCCGGCGGAGCACTACCTGTCGGATGGGAGTGTCTAGCGTTCGTGCATCCCGCCGACCGTAACGCGAGTCGGTTGCGAAAGCGGTGAGAGGGCGAGGATGCAGATCCCTGAATGCTAACGAGCCGCCCACCGTCTCTTGCCCTTTGGCAAGTTAACAGTTTCTGAGTTTGAGCGCCGAGCGTGTGCCAGGCGGTATTCCAAGCGCCGTTCGTGTGTTCACTAGTTTCGTCTTGGCATCACCTTTATCCAGTGGGTACCTGGCAGCTCCACCTTACACGCGAGGACGTTCAGGTAGAGGAAAGGCCAGCATCTTGCCCACGTTCACACGGGGAGGAATGGAGCCAGAATTGAACGCAGGGGTGCTTTGCCAAGAAATTGAATTTTAGTTGGATTTTTGTAGACGTATTCAATGTTATCTCCTGGCAGGGTCCAGAAGTTGTCTTTTGCAGGTCAGCAAGCCTCTTTCCTTTCTGGATTCTTTATTTCCTTTTATTCCTGCATGCAAACCGAGCTCATGTCTTGCCAAATGCAGTCTGGAGCAAAAGACACATGAAAATTTAAGAAGCAAATAGATATACAGAAGCTCAGGGCCAGTGAAAAGAAGAGGAAACAGAATGAAGAGTGTCAAGAGCACAGGTAGTAGTTGAGAGGAAGTCTGAAGTGTCTATATAAGTGGCAGGAGATACTCATGATTTTGTGAAAGGAATTTCAGGAGAGCAGTGGGGGAGGGTGAGAGTGCAGCACTGAGGAAGCAAGGAGACAGGAAGAGATGGAGGATGTAGCCAGCTCTTCAGAAGGCTGAGGAAGGAGGTAAGAAGGGGCACAGGATGAAGGGGCTGAAGGAAGGCAGCTAACAAGAAGGCTGAAGATGAAGAGGTAAAAAGTCCTGGAGGCAGTGAGCAGGTAGGAGGTTAAGAGCAGAGGTGGGTGGGGAAGTTGACAGGTGGGGGGCAGGTTTCATTCTCTGTATCTGTATGGAAGGCTGTCAGGATGGGAGCTGGAGGGGCCAGGGACTACCCACAAGGGGACTGATCCAGCCCTCCTTGGACCAGTTAGGCAGCAGGTAGAGGGTTTGTGTTTCCAGGTCGCTACATCGACGGTAGTGGTGGAGTCAAGAGGTGAGAGTGCCCCACACTCAGGACCATGGCCTGGACTCCACTCTTCCTAAAAGCAGCAGCAGCCACATGATCCCGAGTGGGCTGGTCACACACGCAGCAGATGCCTGCAGAGGATACTTATGAAATCAGTGCCCAGTGAAGATCAAATATTTGAGGAAATGCCATCTCCGTGGCAGTGAAATAGTAAATGCAGCAAACAGCTCATAGCTACGGGGGGAAGTCATAGAGCAGAGCAAGTCCTCAGAGAAGAAAGGTCTCCAAGGAGTCAGTTCAGCCACTCAGCCATGTCTAACTCTTTGCGACCCCATGGACTGCAGCTCACTCAGGCTTCCGTGTCCATCACCAACTCCCAGAACTTACTCAAACTCATGTCCATCGAGTCGGTGATGCCATCCAACCATCTCATCCTCTGTCGTCCCCTTTAAGGAGTCAAGGGAGCATCTTGTTTCTTTAAAAAGGCAGTCATAAGAAAAAGCAACAGTTAAAAAAAACAACTGGATGGAAACTATAATAATTGAGATTTAAAAACAATAGAGGGGACTTCCTCGGTGGTGTGGTGATTAAGAATCCGCCTTGCAATGCGGGGGATGTGAATCTGATCGCTGGTGGGGAAACTAGGATCCCACGAGAACTGGAGCCACTGGGGCCGAGCTCTGCAGCTGCTGAGCCCGTGTGCCACAGTGGGAGAGCCTGCGTGAGGCAACCCCAGCCTTGGACCGAGGTTAGGGCCTGCCACAGTCACACACAGAAATTAAAATTTTAAAAAAGAAAGCGTGAGAAACACTCAGTGGAGTTGCCAGGGATAGGGAGTCAGGCGAGCATGAACAGGCAGAGCACAGAGAATGTTTAGGGCAGTAAAACCACTGTACATGATAGTATAACAATAGATGCATGTCATCATACGTTTGTGGAAACTCATAATGTCAGACACCAAGAGTGGACCCCAGTGTCAACTAGGGACTGTGAATGACAGTGATGTTTCCGTGTAGGTTCAGCAGTTGTAACAAATGTCTTACATCTGTGTGATGTCAGTAGTAGAGGAGGTTAGACATGTAGGGGACAGGGTGATATGGGAACTCTGTTCTGCTCAATTTCTCTGGGAACCTTTAAAACTGCTCTGAAAAATAAAGTCAGTTTTTGAAAAAGTCAATAAATAGGCTGAATAGAACAGGCATAAAGAGTGAATTAATGCATTAAATGCCTAAGCAGAGGAATTCTCTCAGATTATTGGTCAAAAACACAGAGATGCAAAATATGAAAAGTGATTCTCTACCAGGAGTGGTTTTTTCCCCTCCAGGGGACATTTAACAATGTCTAAAACGTTGGCTGTCATCACTGTGGTCGGTGCTTCTGGGATCTGTTAATAGCTCGTAAGGCCATATATGCGTTAACCACCCTACAATACACTGGCCAGTCCAACTGGGAGCCACATCTGGCCTAGCGTCAACTTAGTGTAACCCTGATGTGGTTCTATATTCCCACTTGATATCATGTCTGAGGACTTTGTTCAAAGTTCCTTGCAGTGTTCATCTGCTGGCATGACTTTCAGCTTTTGTATGTATGAGAAACATCTTTATTTTGCCTTCAGCTTTGATACCTTCCCCAGATACAGAATTCTCACTTGAGATTTTTCTTTCAGTAAAGTTTTTTTTTTCTCCACTGTTTCCTTGCTCACATTCTTTCCAACGGGAAACCTGCAATCACCCTTTTCTACGTTCCTCTATACATTATGTGTCTTTATTTCTTGACTGCTTTTAATATTTTTGCTCTGGTACTGATTTTAAGCAATGTAGAATGTGATTTGATGTAGTTTTCCTCACGTTCTTGTGCTTTGAAGTTGTTGACCTGGTATCCGTGGGCTTGGAGCATTTATCAACTTGGAAATCTTTTAGTAATTAAATCTTCAAATAGTTTTCTCTCTCCCCTGCTCCTTTGGGAACTCCAATTACAAGTTTATTGGGCTGCATGAAGTTTGCCCACAGCTCACCCAAGTTCTGAGTGTTTTTTCCGTAGATGTACCGCCGCCCACCAGTTTTCATTTTTTTATTGCTGTCTTCAAGTTCATAAATCTTTTCTTCAGCAATATGTAACCTGTTGTTAAACCCATCCAGTATACTTTTTATCATGTCTGTTTTTCTTCAGAAAACTGAATTTGTGTCTTATATTTTCCACATCTCTACTTAACACGAGTAGTCTTTTCTTGATCATCTTGAGTTGTTTTAACTCTCTGATCTATTAATGCTATCATATTTGATAAGACTCTGTTTCTATAGACTGATTTTTTCCTCCCCTCTGACCATGGATGTTATTTACTTGCTTCTTGCATACCTTGAAGTTTTGTGTTGTATACTAGGCATTGTAAATTTTACCTTCTTGGGTGCTGGGTGTATAGTTTACTTAAAAATTTTATTAGGTTTACATGCAGTTGTAAAAATGATGCGAAGTCCTTTACTCAGTTTTCCACAATGGTAACATCTCCCCAAACCAGAGTAATCCACTCTGCAAATCTTTGTCTTTTAGTGTATTAGACCATTTACATATAATTATTAAGTGGTAATAAATCTTAAATCTACCATTTTATTATTTATTTTCTATTTGTTTCATCTGGTTCTCAACTCTTTCTCTTTGCTTGTCTTCCTGTGGATAATTTGAACATTTTCCAGTATTACACCTTAATTTCTTCATAATGTTTAAAAAGAGATAGATCCATATACCATAAAATTAACCCTTTTAAAGTGTATAGTATTCATAGGTTATGCAACTAAGTACATGCAACTAAGTACATCTAATCCCAGCACATTTTCATCGCCCCCAACAAGAAACACTGTACTCATTTCCTCTTCCCCACAGCCCTAGCAACAACTAGCTACTTTCTATCTCTGTAGATTTACCTTGTCTGGGTATTTCATATAAATGGAATCATAAAGCATGTGGCCTTTTGTGTCTAGCTTCTTTCAGTTAGGATACTGTTTTCAAGGTTTCAACCCATGTTGTAGCATGGTATAAGTAATTCCTTTTTGTTGATGTTCACTGTTCCTTTCCCTGGGGATTCCACATTTCATTTTCCCATTCATCACTTGACGAGCATTTACCCTGTATCCAGTTTTTGACGATGATAAATAGTCTGTTGCGGTGCATGGGCTTTCTCTAGTTGCTACGCTTAGGCTCTAGAGCGTGCAGGCTCAGTGGTTGCTGTACAGACTTTGTTGCCCCTTGGCATGTAGGATCTTAGTTCCCCAACCAGAGATCG